GATTTGCTTATAAAAGTATACACTACAAGAAAAATCTTTTTTCATAGCGATTATTTCGTAGCGATTGTACATTAGCTACAATATGCAAGTATGTTTGTGAAATAATTAAGGATGTCGTATCATTTTTACAATCGCCGTGGTTTTCCCATATAAAATCGATACGGAAAACATAATAATACATATCCACACTATTTTTACACATTTATATAATTTTGAGAAATCGTATCATTTACAATCGCCACTAAATCCTAAAAAACGATACGAAAAGCCTTTTCAACACTAGATATATAAATATTGTTTGACAAAGAAAATATTAAATATGTCATAGCTTATTGGTGAAACATTTAATATAAGAGTTTGAGGTTGCATGTTCGAATCTTGTAAAAATCATACGCATGTTTTTTTTTTGAAGAAAATGAGTTAAATATTTGTAGCGATTACAATCGCTACAATAATCACCACGATTGGATGTAGATTTTCATATCGATTATTGAGGCCAACCCAAGCGATATTGAAAACCACTACTACAGGCTAAGGCAACGGGGGATATTGTATCGAATGACCATTCGTTGGGAAAGCTTTTTGTTGCAATTACAATCGATATTAAAGGTTAAAATAATCGCTACGAAAAGGTTATTTTCTTGTAGTGATAGCAATATTGAATTGATGAATCGAGCAGATATTAATTTGATATTAAAGGCTATTTCTAATAGGAACTTAGATCAAGTAAATTGCGAGAGCCTGTTAGATCTATGTTGATTAATAAATTGCGAGAGCCTGTTAGATCTATGTTGATTAATAAATTGCGAGAGCCTGTTAATCATGTTAATTGTGCAATGTTAATTATTGGTTGTTATGTTTTATCCCTGAATATTAATTATTGGTGAACCTGTGACCCTAGGCTTTTTATTATTGATTTCTCCCTACTCTTAATCTCCTCAGTTTAGTTCCTTTTTACAACAACAATTTTGGTTACTTAATAGCACTACTAGAAAACAGTCAAATAACGACGGAAATTTTCCGTCGGAAAACCCGTTTCTGACGGAATTTTCCGTCGGAATTGGTTGTCGGAAAACCTTTTGTCGGAAAATGGGCCTTTTCCGACGAAATTTCCGTCGGAACCACTATTCCGACAGAATTCAGTCCGCCGGAAGATATTTTACGACCCGAAATAATCTGTCGGAAATTTCTGATGGAAATTCCGCCGGAAAATGCTTTTAAAAAAACAAAAAAAAAAAGGCCTACCCCCACCAGCAGCCACCACCCCAGCCCACCTAACACGTGCCTTCACCCACTACCCAACACACCAAAACCTCCACCAGAACCCACCTAACAAAACCATACCCCCTAACCCTACCCCCCAAAGCACCAGCCACCACCCACCACCCAACCCACCTAACCCGTACCACCACCCATACCAAACCAGAACCCACAAACCAAACCACACCTCTCTAACCCTACCCCCACAACACCAGCCACCAGCCACCACCCAACCCACCTAACCCGTACCACCACCCATACCAAACCAGAACCCACAAACCAAACTAGACCCCCTAACCCTAAACAACCAGACCCACCACCTAACCTATCGGAAGCTTGGAATTTTCGGCCCTAATGAGTAACTAAATAGATTTTGTTTGGATTTTCATCCTGTAGACACCCATTTGTGTCTCCCCAAAACCAAATCCAGTGATGAGTACCTTTCACGTCGAATCGTAATCGAATGAAGTGAAAGTGTGGAAAGTCTAGTGTTGCGGATAGTTTTAATTTCTTTTCTCTGTTTTTGAAAACCTATTTTAAGAAAATAGCCAATCCAGTTTGGTTGGTCCATGATATGGGTCTAATAGTAGTGTAGTTGGATAGGGATTGAAAAGAGCTTTCCAACGATATATTATAAGCCCAATTCCGATGAATATTGATGAAGTTATGGCCAAATTACTAAACTGGGCCCGGTTTGAGCCTTATATGCGGCCCAATGATCTAGAGGAGGGCCTAATATAGATTTATCATTCCTAATGCAATTAGAAATGGTTTTAGTCTTCTAGATTCTTCTAGAAGGTTCTTTTCATTCCTAATTCAATTAGCATTGATAATTGACTTTTCTTGACTTTTTAGAGTTTTAATTAGAATAAAAGAATGTTTTTGAGGAAAATACGATTTTATCCTCCTGCACGGTCAAGTTCTATTTGATTTTAGAAAACGCGTCAATAATTTAGTCAGCGCCAAACACCAGCATTAGCGCCTGACGCTAAGCTTGGCGTCTGGCGCTAGCGTTAGCGCCTGACGCTAACCTCGTTTTTACGCATCAGAACTTTGTTTCGATTTTTTATCTTTTTGGCTGATTTTCTCTATAAATAGCCTTCTAAAAAACTCCGTTTTCATTCACCAATTCTCACTAACTCTCATCAAGAATTTCTTGATTCTCTCTCTCTTTTCTAAACCAACCCTTTTTACAAACACAATTCCTCATACATTAACACTAGACACACCTAGCCAAGTTCGAAGTTGCCTTCGCCCTAGACGTGAAAGGTTTTAATTTATGAGGGTTTGGTCCCAAATCTCTCTTTCAATTATTTAATTTAATTATTTGTTTTATTATTTTCCTTGAAGTTACTAACGTGTGTATTTTGTTATTAGAAAGAAGTACGAGGCATCCAAGTAAGTGCTTTAATTGATTTATTGTTATTATGATATAGAAATCATGCTTAGGTTGTTATTATGATTCCTAGTGTTATGTTAGGGTGTTTTGATCTTCCTAGTATCATGTTTAGGGTAACAATTATAATTTCTATTATCAAACATGACAATTGTGTTTCCTGCTTCCTATTTTCTTTCCTAATAGCATGTTAGTATCATGTTAGGGTTAAAGCTTTGATTTTTTAATGTTTAGTGACATGCTAGGGTTTGTTATTAATCTTGTTAGTATCACGCCTAGGATCTTGCTATTATTATGCTTTAACATGATTATGATATTATTATTATAATTATAATTTTACTATTATTTTGTTGCTTGATATTTATTTTTAATTGCTTGATCACGCCTTTTATGCATGTTTAAAGGGAATTTGTACTTGTAATCACGCTTAATAAGATAATTAATAATCTTGTTTAGGGTTAATTAGATTATAATTCAAGTGATCGCCAATGATAGATTTGTTTGTGCATTAAATTCAACCAACATAGATAAACAGGTTTAGGGTTAATCCTATTGATTGCATGTTAGTCAGAAAGCGCACATGAATATGATCAGAATAAAGTAGAGGCCTATTATTAGGGCAGGTTCAATATCTTTTAGGTTGGATTTGTACCTTCATCCCCGAACTACCAGTCATGGTTCCAGACCTATTGGAGTTGACGATCTCTTGGATCGTTAAGGGGTGTAACCTTCACCCTGTGAACGGTTTACAAGTTCCTAAAACTTGTTGGCGACTCTTTTGCTCTATCTTCTTTCCCTTTGGACGCCACCGTACTTTAGTGTATGATCACAGTGGGGTTCAAGCTAGGGGTAATGCTTGAAATATTCCCTACACATCCAAATTTATTTTATTTTAAATTAATTTAATTCCTAGGTTTTTCTATTTTCCTAAAATAAAATCTTAATTATATTTTATCATATACTAGTTTAAGTCCCGTGCAATGCACGTTTATTATTAAATTTTATAAAGAGTTATTGTATTGAGTTTAAAAAAAAAATTAAACTCATAATACTAATTCAAAAATAAATATAATTTTAATTTTATATGTAACTCTATCAATGTCAAGATTAGTGACACTTAAACTTGATTTAAAAATTTAAAAAAAAGACTTTGAAGTTTTTATTTTTTTTTAAAAAAATTCTAACGATAGTACCCGTACATGCTGCGTTAGTATTGATATGACTTTTAAAAGTAGAAAATAAAGTGTACATATATATATCTTAACAAAATAATTTTATTTTTAATTCAATTAAACATCATTGCAAAGGTAACAAAATTGGAAGAAAAAAAAGTTAATAGTGTTATTATCGAAGACTAAAATAATATATAGCAGTATTGTTTAATAATAATTACCTCATTTTTTTTTTACAAATATAATACCAAATAAAAGACTACTTATATGTAAAAAATATATTAGTTGGGTTTATATGGAGAATTATTATTGTTAAGAATTTTAATTAGAAGAAAGATATTTTAAATTATTATAAAATGATTTATGTAAAGAATCTGCATAAAAACGGAAAGTAAAATGGGCGGGAAAATTGTTAATGAGATTGTGATATGTGTCATGTTAGATTCGCTTTTAGTATAGGTTATTGATTGATGTTTTAAACTTTTAATAATCACTTCTCTTATACTTTTTTTTCAAGCAAACCTCTATTGCCTTTTAATCATTTTCATGATCATCTTGCAATTCCGTATTTTCATAACCTAATTTATACTTGCTCACCAAGTTAGCAATGCTCAATCCTTTATTTTATTATTGCTTCTCAAGTAATTCCTTATCCTTTAATTTTCATATTTAATTCTACACTTAATTATATACCATAATTCTCACACTCTTACACCCATAAATAGTTAAAACCCCTCTTTTAAAAACCAAAAAACCCACAAAACTAAGGAAATGACTTTAATGCCCCCGTTATTCTTATGCATGCCTAAAGAAGTTATAGCTTTAGGATTTCTCACAATAATTCCATCTTTTCTTGTATCCCTAACTTTATTCACCTTTTTCATACACAAACCCACCTTATTATATTTTCTCTTACTTTATCTTACACATACTTACGATTTTTCAAAAATTTCTTAACTATATTTAATGACATATACGTAAAAAAGGAGGTAGTCTAATGAACGAATAATAAAATCAACACAAATTTTCATATATGGATAGCTAGGGCTTGTTTGACATTTTTTTTGTTTTCCTGTTTTTTTGAAAACTAAAAACCGAAAACAGGAAACAAGAAAAAAATGTTTCCACTTTTCAGTTGTCAGTTTTCAATATTATCATGATTTTAATAAGTTTGACTATTTTTTTTGTTTATTATATCATATGATTTAAAAAAAAACCAAAAAAATAGAAAATCACAGCGACGCCAAACGAATCCGTTTACATGTTTAGAAGTTATTTGATTGGTGAGAGGTTACTTGATCATGCGTTACTTAGTCGATTAAAGGTTATTCGGTTTTTGGTGTCTCAGACTCTAGGTACACCAAAAATGCATCATAAAATCAAATTAAAAGCTTCCACTAGGCAAACGGAAAAAAAAAAAAATCCCCAAATTGATTAAAAACAATAAAACAAAGAATAATAAAAATCACAGATCTGCAGCAGCAGCTTCTTCTTCTGTGAGTACAAGTTCGTCAAACATCACCAAACTCCCCAAAAATAAAAAAATCCAACTGACATTCAAATGACAATGTATAGAAATCCAATTTCTGAATCCCATGATTTTCATTTTCTCTCTCCTCTGAACTGAAATGCAGCCAGGAATTGGAGCATCTTCATCATCTTCATCATCGCCATTTTCGTTGAGTCCTTTACCTTTCATTTACAGTTTTAATGGCGAATTAAGCAATACCTCCGTTGAAGGTTTCGACAGTTCTAGGGTTTTTTTCTTGGCTTCTTTGTGGTTGTTTCGAGGCGTTGGCGGTGGTGGCAGCAGTGGTGGTTCAATGGATTTTTCTAAGGTTGGAGAGAAGATTCTGAGCTCGGTTCGCTCTGCTCGGTCTCTTGGTTTTCTACCGGCGGCATCCGATCGTCCCGAGGTTTGTTGTTTTCTTTCTGATTTTGATTTTTTTGGGTTTATTGTGATAATGTGGTTAGGTTACTGTAATTAGAATTATTGGAAGCCAATTTTTTTGTTATATGCTAATGATGTTCTGAATTTGAGTTGATTAGATGGTGTAGAATTCTGAATTTTTTCTAGGTTTCGTTTGGTTGTTGATTTGTGATGTTTGATGCGAAATCGTTGTGTTGGGCAATATTCGCTTAATGTGGCCTTGGTATGCGTCAATTGAGATTTTGTGATTCAAAGATGAGATGAATAAGGGGATAAAGTGGCAAATTTGATGTGATCAAATTCATCTGATACAGTGTATTAGCTGATCAGAGCTGAGCAATCGGATTAGCTTAATTCGGCCTTGGTATACCTCGATTGAGTGTTTGTGATTTAGAGACGAATAAGGGGACATAGCGGCAAATTTAATGTGATCAAATTCATCTGATAAGCACTATTAGCTGATCATAGCTGATAATTGGATTAGTTGATTAATCTCTGTTTGAGATTGAGATGCATGTTCAAGTCTGATAATGAGTTAATTAGCTTGTTTGAGCATTTGTCGGAGGCAGATGAGGTTTAAGTGATTGGTTTTAGGCAATTGTTGTCTGAATTCCATTGTACCACTAAGCAACACTAAATTAGAAATAGATCAAGCTTCAAAGTCCAATGCAATTATAGTCACCTATATTTTTTCCCCTGTTTTGATTGGATTTCGGAAAATATTATTTTTGTAGCACGTATTTGTACCCTAGATTACAATCAGAAATATATTATGCTAATTTTCTTAAGAATATGAAACAATATGATGGTAAGATTCCCTAGTTTTCATAGGCCTTATGCTTTCTCGTTTCTCTTAAACCTTATCTGCACCTCGTAAGCCTTAAGGACCAGTGCCATGCTTCGATTTTTTCAGTAGCTAACTAGCTATACCTGTTTAAATTTTAAAATTACACTTTTCTATGAACATGCATGGTGTTACAAATGCCATATGGTTATTTGTATTTGGAACTATTCGTCTTGTTTAGCCTTCTCTCTTTTGGAGTTGACCTATATCAATCCAAGGATTGTTACTTAAATTATTAAATATATATTTCCTACATTCAGATAGTTTAGGCAACTTACTCCAAACATGTTGATAGGTTCATGGGTTTTTGCTTCATTTAGAGAAGAATGGAATGATTATCCTTTCAGATTGAGTATGGGATGAAGCCATATAGGTAAAAATATTGATGATCAACTTTAATTGAATTAGGTTTCTGTGTTTGAGAGGGTGGCATCAAACACTAAACCTCAATGCTCCATTGACTCTTTTCTAGTGTATTTACATCTTCTGTTGAGGCATTGGACATGTCCAAGGTTTCTACAATGTGCTTTTACTCCATTAGATACGTATACGTTTCTAAAGTTCTGGGAGTTGGAAGCAGAAGTCAAATTATATCTTTGAGCAGGAAAAAGGATTCTTGTAAAAGATAATGCCTTTTCCCCACTCCAAAAAGAGAAAAGAGAGAAAAATGACAACCATTTAAAAAGCTGAGCTTTTCCTGTTTTCATTTCTGCCTTCAGAAGCATGGGAAAGAACATAGACGAACTTGTATTCTAGTAGTATAAGATCATATACTTATGCTACATAATTGTATACATTATGTTATTGGCTCTAAAGAAGGCAATAGGCATCTACAAATTATATGGGTGGAAAAGAGGGGGGTGGGGGAAAGGGTAGGGGAGGGCTATCATGATCATAAGACTACCTACATCCCTTTGTACGTACATGCCTTTTGAGGATCTTAATCCTGTGGCTTATGACATAGTCAACGAGGATTGTTGACTATAAATTTTTTGTTTTGTTTTTTTTTGCCCCGGGAGGTGGGGGTATTTTCTGTTAAGTTTGAATCGAATTTGTAGACCAAAGTAAGAAGGCTTAAGTTCTAGGGATTTGGTAATGACAATGAGTCAATGACTCTATGGCATGGTTGTATGTCTTTTTATTTTTTATTTATTTTTTTATTTTTTTTAAAAGAAATCCCACAACATGTTTGAGGGGCATGATAAAATTTGACTTCCCTTCTAAGACTATTTAAGGTTTAGGGCTCCTCATATAGTGTTTCATTGCTTGGCAGCTACAATAGGGTGGGGGGGGGGGGCTTGATAGGAAGCGAACTCAAATATTGTAGTCCCCTATTATCTGAAGGGGATCTGATGAAGGTTTAGTGAATCAGCTCATACATTTCTAACCGTGATTGCTTTTTCTGTGGCACTCAAGTTTGTCTTTGTTCACAATTACTTGAGTTTAACTGGCTAAATGTAATTTGCTGAAAGACTTGAGTGATCTATATGAATTGAAAGATTGCTACTTCTCCTTAATCTTGTCTTTGTAACATCCTCTTCTAGTTACTGAAAAGTGTTTGTTTATAAGAAGTCTCCATGGGCATATTTTTTCAGTGGCTGCAATCATTTTAACTAATTCTTCCATTGGTGTTTGGCTTTATGCAGGTTCCTGCCAGGGCAGAAGCAGCAGCAGCTGTTGCTCGAGCTCTTGCAACTCTGCCCCCTGATCAGAGGTTAAGTCTCCCATCAAGTTCGGCCGAACTGAGTTCCATGTACGGAAGCAGATCTCATGATCCAGTTGCTGAGGAATTAGAAGAAGAATTTTATGAAGAGGTTTGTTGCTTCTCAGTTTTTTTAGTTTCAATTATTGTATTGTTACCTCACGTTTCTTGTTGTGTATGTAGTAGAATGGCCAAGTCATTTTAGAATTTCGCTGCAGTTTTCGTTAGTTTTTGTTTTCTTTACCCTTTTCTGTACAATTAAATATGATTTTGACATTTCTTTGTGTCGAGAAAGTGGTATTCAAGTACTGGTCTATCTTGGGAATTTGGACATATATAACTACTTTTTTGTTTCTTTTTTATTTTGCATTTTCTTGTCTATTTTGAGGAGTTCCTCTTGCACATCAAGGCTTCTATTCCGAGGAACTATTTTTTTTTTTTAAATTTCTCAAGGGTCATGGTGATGATGTGATAGAATGCAATAATAAACATATTATTTGAAGACTTCACTCAGTCACGCACTCACATACATTTTTACTGGAATTTGTTCACTTAAGCAAGATATGTGGTTTGGATTTTCTTTTAGAACAACGATTGATTTGATACTTAAATAAATGAAAAATGCAAAACTTTTACAGGGAAATTTTCACTAATTAATTGATAAGATTGTAAAATAAAACATAACACTAGGCCTTTTATTTTGCTTGCCTAATTCTGTAAGCTTACTAGCCTAAAACATATACTAAATAAAAGTAAAACACTGAAATAATTGGGCGAACATTATTTGACGATAACATATCCTAATGAACTTAGAAGACAAGCTGGAAACATAGAAGTTCAGCCTTTTCAATCTAGGTAGGAACTTGTAGTTAGCTAAGTTATGAGCCAAAACAAATTCACCCAACACCCCATACCCTTATCCTTTGCTGTCTAATTGTATTCTAAGAAAAAGGATAATCCAAACATAGGTAGCAATCAAGTTGCAACATGATGAAATATGCATAGCTTGGAATGCTAGTTGCATTGGCTGGCTCCAGAACCTCATAGCAGTTGCAGCATTTCTGTGCAAGCGGCACATTCAGCCACTTTGCCAACACCAGCAACACCTAGAATGGGATGCTTCCACACTATGAACCTCCCCTCTGAATCTTCAAATATTAATTTTGAAAGCAAATTAAATTGTCGACAACAGAGTCGTTGTTGGCAATAAGATGTCTACCCTGACATGTATGTGAGATCCTTGTAATTATTGTCTTGTGCCTTCCCGTAGTCTTTTGTCTTCAATATGAGGAAAAAAGATGATACTTGAAACATTTGCTGGTTGGACAAGCTATGTGCATATTATAGTTGATAAGAATGACAAAGTTTGGTGCTTGCTTCTTTTTAAAATATAGATAGAAATCCAAATCCAATTGTACTTTACATAAGTACCTCATATATGTGAAGGCTCTTGTAAGAAACCTTCCTTATATGAGATCTCTGAATCTCTCTCTATGTTTTAAATTTTTACCTTAGTTTTAAAAAGCGCGCCTAGGCGCAAGGTACAATGAGGCGCCTTAGCTCTGTCAAAGACTTACAAAAGGCGCGCGCCTTTGCACTTTTTTTCTAGGCTGCTTCTTGCGCCTTATTTTGTAAAGCATTTAGAGCTATTTTGTGATGGGGAGGTTAATTCATTTCTAGAGGAGAGAGAAATCCCTTGTCCCCTAATTCGATTTGAAGAACCTAGCTATTGATCACATGGCCCTTTCACCTTTACACATAATTCCAATTTTACACTTATTTAATAGAAATTATTTTTTCTTTTCTATATGAATAAAGTGCGCGTCACCCACGAAAGGTGCGTGCCTTTGGCTTGCTCCTAGGCTTTAAGGAATTTTACAGTTTTGCGCCGTAGTGCGCCTTGCGCCCTTTAAAACTAAGATTTTTACTTATATGTTCTAAATTTTAAATTTGGCGCTCTAAATAATTACTCACATGCTCTAAATCTTAAATGAGTTAAATTAGATGTTCTAAATTATTACTCAAATGTTTAAAATCTTAAATTAGTTGTTTAAATTTTAATTTATTTGTTCTGTTCTAAATTTTAAATTGTGTGTTCTAAGATTTTAGTCATATGTTTTAGATTTTAAATCATATGATCTAAATTATTACTTATACATTCCAAATGTTTACCCACATGTGATCTAAATTTTAAATTAGGCGTTCTTAATTTTTACTCAAATATTCTAAATCTTAAATCAAATGTTCTAAATTTAATGAGGGATTTTAAATTTTACTCACACGTTTTAAAATTAAAATCAAATGCTCTAAACTTTTACTCATATGTATTAAATATTAAATCATGTGTTCTATATATTTATTCAATTGATCTAAATATTTACTCGTATGTTCTAAATTTTTACTCACATGTTCTAAATATTAGATCAGTTCTCATGTAAGTATGTTCTCACTTATGGACCTATTATCAGCGAATCTCACGTCAGGTACTATAGAAGTGCAAAATCTGAGTATCAATTTAATGCTCGCATGATCAATTCTACGTCGATTTTCATCCCCTTGTTGTGGCGAATTTGATACATCTTCACTCCATTTTACTCTGCATACTATGCATTGGCTCTCTTCTGTTAGCTGTTGTTGTTGTTTTTTTTTTTTTTTTTTTTTTTTTTTTTTATTTTTAATTTTTTTTTTTTTTTTGATGATGGTGTCCAATTACATTATGAAATTTATTTTCCTGAATATAATTTAATTTAGTCAATTTATGTGATATAGTTTTGGTCGTATGTCGGCAGGATTTTGATCCAGTTATGTTTGTTCTGGAGCATATTCCCTCAGAAGACGATGAGTTGGAACATTACGAAACCAAGGTAAGACTTTGGCCGCTTATTGTTCTTATTTGTAACAATGCACATTGTTAAATACAAAGTAACAATGACCCATATATATATATATATATATATATATATATATATATATATATATATATATATATATATATATATATACTACCTCCGTTAACAGTTATTTGCAACGAAAGGGACATGCGCGGACTCCTAGGCAAAACTTCTTAAACATGATTATTGAAAGTTATGGATATGTAATTAACTACATTATTTTAATTAAAAAAAAACCAATTCCAATTAAAGAGAACATCCCAGAACAACCACCACACGCCACCCAGAACCCACGAACCACCACCCACGCCACCCACAACTCACCGATAATCACCCACAACTCACCGAGAACCACCCACGAACTGACGGAATCCACCCAGAACCGACGAACCACCACCCACGCCACCCACAACTCAACGAAAGTCACCCACAAACCACCGAAATCCACCCAAGAATCACGGAAACCACAAAATACTACGAAAACCACCTTAGAACCACCGGATCTAAACCCAAAAACTAAACCCATCCACGAAACTACCCCCACGAACCGCCCAAAACCACCACTACTAACACCAACCCACGAATTGAAACAACCATCCGCGAATAACACCCACTAACAAACCACAAAAACAACCCCCGAACCATAAATTACCACCTAATCTACCAAACCCACCCACAAACCATTAACATCCACCACGATCTGAGGAAAAATGACGATACAGAAGAAGATGAAGTGGGAAGAAGATAAAAGATGAAGAGGGAAGAAGATGACGGATGAGAGAAGATGATGATGGTGAACTAAAAGATGAAGATCGAAAAAGATGAGAGATGATGAACTTAGAGATGAAGATGGAGGAGAGAGATGGTGGGTAGATGAGATTAATCAGATTTTTTGAGGGGAAAAGTTTGATAATTAAAAGTTAGATTAGAGTTATAATAATTTGTAATTATGTGTTAATAATTTTTAAATGAGGGTATTCTGGTCATTTTACCAGAAAAAAGTTACTATATTAGGAAAAAAACAGATTTGTTGCAAATAATAAGTAGCACCTTATTTTGGTAAATGTTGCAAATAACCGTTAACGGGGGTAGTATATATAGGGAAGGGATCCGGTGAGAATAGGTCCATATGTGAGAATTCATACTTATATGAGAACTAATTTAAAATTTAGAACATGTGGGTAAAAATTTAGAACATACGAGTTAAAATTTAGAACATGTGACTCAAATTAAAATTTTGAACATATGAGTAATAATTTAGAACATTTGTGTGAGTAATATGTTAGAACATCTGATTTAAGAATTAGAACAAGTGATTAAAAATTTATAAAATTTGCTTTATGAAATTTTAAACATATGAGTAACATTTAGAACACTTGATTTAAGATTATGAACATGTGAATAAAAATTTAGAACAAACTGATATTGAATATAGAAAGTGTGAGTAAAGAATTTAGAACATACGAGTAAAAAAATAGAACATACGCTTTAAAATCTGGAACATATAATTAAAAAATCTTAGAAAATCTGGAACATATAATTAAAAATCTTAGAACACACGTTTTAAAATTTAGAACATAAAAGTTAAAAGTTTGGAACAAGTTATTTAAAATTTATGACATCAAGCTTAACTAATTTATGGTTTAGAACATGTGAGTAATAAATCAGAACATTTGATTTAATTTAGAACACCTAAAAAAAAGTTTAGAACATCAGATTTAAAATTTAGAACATACGAGTAAAAATTTAGAACATAAAGAGTGTTCTCACATAAGAAAAATTCTCATATAAGAAAAATTCTCACGAGAGCCTTCCCCTATATATATATATATATATATATATATATATATATATAAACATGTTTAGTTTAGACCACCCAATTTGATTTTCCATTGGTAGTATACAATGTACAAACTAATACTGTATATGGAAAATGATTAAGTAGTATGAAGTATACTGGAAAAGGCAACTTAGGTTATACAAAATGAACACATCTAAGAGGAAGGTGTTAATTTTACCTTTTTTTTGAAAAGATAGGTGTTAATTTTACCTAAATCAATAGTGTCTCACTTCCAATGAAGCACCTCATTTTCACCCCTTAAAAATTTTTGAACTTTAGCTTGCTTAGTTTCCAACGCGTCCTATAGAGAAGTGTAAAACATGTGTAATTGTTATTGACACTATTTTTTTCTTGTTTTATGACTTTATCTTGATGTCACAGAAGATGATCTTTCATCTGTGCTGCCTGTTGTAAAATTGATGAATTCAGTTTTGCTAAGCTTTTCTTCTCTACTTGATTACTGTCTGTTCCTTGCAGGCTACTGTTAGGCTAGCCCAACTGGAGAAAATATCTGCACATTTATCCCGCCATGTCATGGAGCATCATGAAGAAATGGGTATGCTGTTTGTTACTTTTATTATTATTTTTGTTAGCATTTCAAAAGAAGGTTAGCATAGCAAATGCATATGTTAAGATGGATGTATGAGAACACCTTAAGGGATAGAATTTGGAATTAAGGTATTTGGAAGAAGGTTAGAGTTTCAGATGTTGAGGATGAGTTAAGAGAGAATCTGCACGTTAGGTTGGGCACGTGAGACATGATAGACCTTAAGCAATAGATGAACTGTTAAGGAAAGTGGAGAGTTAGGATTATGGGATTTTAGACGAAGTCAGGGATGCCAAACATGATTTGAATGGAGGGTGTTAAGGAAAATGTGAAGAATCTGGTTTGTAGGAGTATACAGCTGTTGAAGAAGTGAATGGAGGCAGAGTATCTCTGTTGGGGATGACCACTAGTGATAAAATCATGATTTATGCAGCCAACCCCATCTTATTGATTTCAAGGCTTTAGCATTGTTGTTTAGTTAGTAAAATGAGTTGTAACTTGTCAATCATGTTAGTTGAAAGTTATGTATAACATCTGAGGCTGTTAAGCGTAATAACTTCTGCTATTTTGATTGATGATTTGGGTTGAAATATATAGACTGATAATAGACTTGAAATGTCTTTGTTTCCAGTAAGGGGTATGCAGTTGGTCAGAGAATTGGAGAAGGACTTGAAGATTGCCACCGTGATCTGCATGGTATCCATTCGAAAGCAGTTTTGAAAGTTCTTTTAATGTCTACTGGCATGTTAATTGCAGGGAGGGTCCAATACAACTTTAGCATGTTGTATGATTAAATGTATTCTATATTGACTTTCTTGCAATGCAGAATGGGAGGAGGCACCTAACTTCTTCTATGCATGAGGTTTCAAGGGATCTCGTTGTTACAGAAAGTTCAAGAAAGAAGCAAGTTCTCTTGGTATTGACCTTTTCCATGATTTATATATAATTTAGTCGTCTCCATAAAGACCCTGCCGTTTGTGCTTTTGCATAAAAAACTAGGAGAACCATCAGAGAATAGAATGAATTATAAAATGAGAACTTGCGTATTTGTTTATCGAAATAGTTATTTATTAGTTTGGAGTCTTGTGATTATAAAATTGACACACTCTTGGTGTCTCTCTAGTACTATTTTATCATTCGCATTCTTTCTCTAGAATAGTCACAATTTTTGTTTTACAGTGTCTCTGAAAAAGTTGCCAACTTAAAATACGTATACTTGTGAGCTGTGTTTGGTTTCCTAAATATCCTTATCACACATAAGTTACGAAGAGACTCAAGAGAATGGGAATATTCCTATATCATAAAGGTTATTTATTTATTTATTTTAAAATTAGGGCTAGGGAGCAAGGTCACAATTAACTTTTACTGTGTCTTTAGATCAATGTTAAGGACTTTTCTCTATAATATGTTTGGGTTTATCGCTGAAACTTTATCAATATTTTTTTTTCTTAAAAAAGAAAGAGGCAAGCCTTAGTTTTTTAGCTTACTTTGTCTTTCGCATCTTAACTATTTTGCAGGATGTGCTTCCAGTATTAACAGAAATCCTCCATGCTCTGGACATGCAGAAAGAGCTTGAAACGCTCGTTGAGGAAGGGAATTTCTGTAAGGTTGACTTTTGTATAACTTTCACTGCTATTCTTCTGTAATTGGATGGCTATAAATTCAGTCATCATCTACCTCATCATTATTGCTTTTGCTACAAGATTGTGTCCACTTATTTCTCACCAAATACTACCTGATCGCAGGCATTTCAAGTACTTTCTGAATATTTGCAGCTTCTAGATTCTCTTACAGAGCTTTCAGCTATACAAGAAATGAGTCGCAGTGTTGAGGTAAATATTAATTTAGTCTGGTATAAATTTTTACATATGTGTTAAGTTGGATTTGGTGGTGGGAAACTGGGAACATATGTTTTCCTTCCATATAAATGAAGTAGAAACTGCAAAAATACCATTATGCCTTCAAGTTTCTTTCTTAGTGTTTATTTATTTATTTATTTATTTTTTTTGTTGTGTTTCTATGACACACCTCATCACCAATGTCGGATACATGTGACTTGTTTGGTAAGGTGTAAAGTCAGTAGTAAGCTTATACTTCCTCTGCTTTTTTTCACTTTTGACATTTCTACAATGTACACTATCCTCATACTCTGTTGTAGTATTATAATTACGTGTCGTAATTTATCATATGAGATCTTGTCATATGTCTTAGTGTGTTCTTTATGAAAGTTTAATTCTTATACTACGTAATTTTTATAGATGCACAACTAAAGATATTAAGGGTTGAATTTATCCATTGCTAAACGTGAAAAATAGAAAGTTGTACGTATAAAAAAGAGAAAGTATTGATCTGTCTTGGGACATCACAAGATTTGACATCTTTTACCTCCACTTGTTGCTTAGGTACTGATTGATAAATTGATATGATTCTTTGTATTGAAAATTAAATTTTGTTACACTTCTTTGATTAAATTGAACTTTATTGAGTCGTCTGTGGATAATTGAATAATTCAATGTAATTATTATATTGTTGTATCCATATATATCCAGATTAAATGACAGTTTCAATGTTAATGCACCAAGTTCCTTTTTTTTTTTAATCGAAATGTTAAAATTATTGCACCGTTTCCTTATCTGGTAGGTATATTCGGACAAAAGACTATATTGTCCTCAAATTATCCTTTTATGTCCCCACTCCCATCTTTCTCCCCATCCTTGGAAGGGTAGTGTTGTCTTATAAACATTTTCTTTCTCTTTCTTAAATGGAGGAAGTATACGAGAGAATAAATGTAGTAGTTGTAAAAGGTTCTGAAACAGTTCTTTTAATGTTGTAAATAAGCTATATTAATTCACTTTTAAAAACAACTTGGAGGGTAGATCGATTCTTTAATTCAAGCATTTCCATTTTTTCCTCATTGATTTCACAAGAATTATGGTTTCTTCTCTTTTGGTGAGTACTCAGGTAAAATTTTACTTGATGTATTTTAAAGGGGGAAAAAAGTGATTGAATAATGCCTATATGTGATAGCATGATGTATTTGTAATTAATACTTCCTCCATTTTATAATACAAATGAAAAACTTCTTGTTTCCCGCTTGCCAATGCATGTTTTTAATCATTAATATCCTTAAAAATTAATAAAATATGATTTTTGGAAAGTATAAATTTTAATCAAATCTAACAAGGCCTCACATGATTATGATTTTCCTTACTGAAAAATCACCAAAATAGAGATTGTGTACAGAGTGAATAGTGTAAATTTTGAAGTGTTTCATCTATAAATCCGGAAGATAAAGTTCTTAAATAGTGTAATTGGGACTTAATGCATGAAAATGATGAACCGAACAACATCAGTTTCTTCATAAAATTATTTATTTATTTATTTTTTCAAATTTATCATTTTTTCTTTTAATATGATAATGGATTTATGATGTTGCAGCCTTACTTCAACATTGTCAATGTGCATGTTGTTGCTAATATTTTGTTGATGAAGGCTGTTACACAAATAATCTCTTTAGATTTTACTCTATAATTATCAACTCTAAATTATCTTTTTTCTTTTATATGCTTTACAGTTTACTTGTGGCTTTGATAAAGAATGGTATGATATTCTTTTTTCTTTTTCCACGTATCAACAGGTTTGGTTGGGGAACACTCTTCAGAAGCTGGATTCTTTATTGTTACAAGTTTGCCAGGATTTCAAAGAGGAGAAATATGTAACTGTACGTATATGTTTCTTTTCTCGTTATGGATCATTGAAGTAATCTGTCATGTCATTTTTGTTTCCCGTGTCTTGTTATTAGCTGTTATCTGTATATGGCATGTAGCAGCTTGTGGTTTTCTTCATTAAGCAAGTAAATTACCTTACTAATTCAAGACTAATTCTAGAAGACCTGCTGATCAGTAGTAAAAGTCCTTGGTACTGAAGGCCAATGAAGGAAGGCATCTCATCTCGGCCTCATGACCCTAGTCAAGTAAAGTCAATGAGGGCTTTCATGAGATACATAATGTGCTATCATATGATTATAGATGTAAAGTGAGTGGTTTTGTTTTATAGGCAAATTAAACCAATTTCGTTCCAAGATTCCTTGCCCCTTGTTGCTTGATTTCATCTTATCATTTACTACGCCCTCTGTATTTTATTACTTGCTTCACTTTCCTTTTGCGGCCTTATTTTATTACTTGCTCCATGTCCTTTGGCATTTTTAACAATATTTTACCAATTTTCTCCCTACTAATGGTTTCATGTGGCTTTGATAAAAGAATGGTATTATTTATGCTTCATAGGTTTACACAAAATTATTTCCTTGTAAACTATTACACACCAAAACCATTGAGTCCTAATTGATGAAGTGCTTGGCTGCTTGAGACCTCTAAACTGAAGTAGCTGTATATTATAGCAAAGTACTAATACATGATTTTTAATTTTTAAATTTGGGCTGAAGATTTCAAATTAATTCACACTATGGTTCACAGTTTTTCTTTTGGTGGATAGGGAAACATTGCGATAATGAAAAAAAAAAAAAATCTGGTGGGATTTCTTTGTCTAGATCATGAGGCTGACAAACAATTTTGTAAATTTTGTATTCTTTTGAGGACTTTGCTTCCCTTCCTTTTGTTTCAATCATTTTTCTTTTTAATTTCTCAGAAGGTTTTGTGTGAGTCCGTTTCACGTGAGTCCACCACCACCATAACTCCACCACCACCGACCAAAGAGCCCAAACCCAGACCTTAATTTAATTGCGGCATTAAGAGATCAAGAAGCTAAGCAGCAAGCCATTGATGAGTAAAACATTGAACTCCGCCATTAACCTTCTGTTAATGTAGTAAAAGCTCGAATTTCGAGTAAAACCATTGATGAGTAAAACATTGAACTCCGCCATTAACAGCTCGAATTTCAAACTCCGCCATTGAACTCTGCCATTGAAGAGTAAAACAATTGAGTAATAGCTTGAATTTCGAGCTCGATTTGCTTTTGATGTAGAAATGATTCTTGAACTCCGCCATTAACAGCGTCAACCACCTGCTTTCGTCGCTTCCTTCTTCGCTTTCTCTAATCAACAAAATACTAATCGATTCAAATTACATGATTTCAGCAACTAATAATGTGAGTTGCAGAGAAGGATGAGAGAGATGGTGGTTGTTGAGGAGAGAGAAAGAGAAGAAGGAAGGAGGGGTTTTAATACCTGACCATTATATTCTAATTTCTGATATATTTAACCTATTTTCTGATATATACAACATATTTTCTGACAATTATAAATTTATAGTATAGTATATGATATTTATAATTTAATATCTGACCATTATAATCTAATTTCTGACCATTATAATCTAATTTCTGACCATTATAATCTAATTTATGACCATTAAGATTTGTTTTTTCCTCAATTTTTTTTTTTTCTGTTTGTATGACCGGACTCACGTGAGTCCGTTCTACACAAAACTTTTACTTAATTTCTCCTACATTGTCTATTTTGTTACTGATACTATACTCTTGATTCTAGTATTTACTCTCTGACCTAACTGTATCTAATTTTATCATATATTGTAGGTGGTTGATGCTTATGCATTGATTGGGGATGTGTCTGGTCTTGCTGAAAAGATACAGAGCTTTTTCATGCAGGAAGTCCTTTCAGAGACTCATTCTGTACTAAAGACTACAGTTCAAGAGGTAATGACTCTTAGGGTTGAATATTGAATGTGTTTCTCAACATTTCTGATGTGGCTACTCTCATGTCTTTAAAGATTTCTAATTAATAACTCGAACTACTTCTGTGCTGGTTGGATTCTATCCTCTGGTTCTTTGTAAGACCCCTCGTTAAAAAATTTTGTTAGCTATTGCAAATGTAAACATATATACAATTGAGTTTTTCTTGTAATGTGTCTTCTCAATCATTAGTTGCATATTTTTAAGATAATTACCATAAGATAGTGGGCCTCTAGTGAGCTAGGCCTATCACAAATTGCCAAATAAGTCAAGTAGACAAAGACATATCACATATAAGAAGAGCTGGAGGGATAAGAGGGTGAGGTAGTATCCTCATGCACCCAGTGGATTATTCCCTTAGTCTTAAATGTAGAAACATGAAAGTGCATTCAGTTGTAGGTTTCTGGTTTTCAGTTTTTTCTATTCAGGTTTTTTATTTTTCGTGATTGAAGGGTATGTTTATTTAAATGACTAATTTTGGCAGGATCTGGATACAGACAGTCTTCAATATAGGTAAGTAGTTTTTATCAAGTCACTTTCTGTTTTTTGTGTTTTTTGCTTAAAGTTCTGATGCGCTACCTACTTGTTTATTCAGTTCGAGACTTACCTACAGCGACCTATGTCTCCAGATACCAGAATCTAAGTTCCGACAGTGTCTGCTAAGAACACTAGCTGTACTTTTTAGGCTGATGTGCTCTTATCATGCTATAATGAGTTTCCAGACAGAGAACGAGGTAAACCTTCTGCAAATAGTGATGTGCTGATGTCTATTTTCGTTGTGAGGAGTAATCTCATGAGCTTTGTTAGAGTTATCACAAACTTCAACTCTTTAGCTGCATTTGTAATGTACTATCTTGCCTCCCTACTTGAATCATTGCCTACCCTTTAAGAACTTGCATGCATTCTGAATCAATTTAAATTTTGTGACTGATCATACTTTCTAGCTTATGTACATAATTACCTGTACAATGATTGCTCACCTTAATCTTGTGACTAAATAGGATTTCTTAAAGTTTTTCCCACTTTAAAGTTATGAGGGTTGTATTGATTGAGGAATAAAATAATGAAATGAAGACATCCATATCTTTCTCTGTCTCTCTCTTAAAATATATATATTTTTTTCTTCAAACAATTATTTCACAAAGTTTCCTCTATTTCTTTATGGATAATTGGATCAATTGATAATAGCAATCTTTAATTTTTCATATATATAGGAATACATTTCTGTTGGGAAAGAATAAGTAGTAATATTCTGTCCAATTTTCATTCGATATCTCATGTTAATACGTGGTGCATTATTTAAAAGCCCTTAAATCGAGTATGAAATGTCAATGCATCTTTATATATATACATACATATATATATATATATATATATATATATATATATATATATATATATATATATATATATATATATATATATATATAGGGGAAGGCTCTCGTGAGAAATTTTCTTATGTGAGAATTTTTCTTATGTGAAAACACTCTTTATGTTCTAAATTTTTACTCGTATGTTCTAAATTTTAAATATGATGTTCTAAACTTTTCCTTAGGTGTTCTAAATTAAATCAAATGTTCTAATTTAGTACTCATATGTTCTAAACCATAAATTAGTTAAGTTTGATGTCATAAATTTTAAATAACTCGTTCCAAAATTTTAACTTGTATGTTCTAAATTTTAAAACGTGTGTTTTAAGATTTTTGTTATATGTTTCAGATTTTAAAGCGTATGTTCTATTTTTTTAAATTTTTATTCACATGTTCATAATCTTAAATCAGATGTCTAAATTTTACTCATATGTTTAAAATTTCATAAAACAAATTTTATAAATTTTTAATCACTTATTCTAATTCTTAAATCAGATGTTCTAAACATATTACTCACACAAATGTTCTAAATTATTATTCATATGTTCAAATTTTTAATTTGAGTCACATGTTCTTAATTTTAACTCGCATGTTCTAAATTTTAACTCACATGTTGTAAATTTTAAATCAGTTCTCATATAAGTATGAATTCTCACATATGGACCTATTCTCACCGGATCCCTCCCCTATCTCTCTCTCTCTCTCTCTCTCTCTCTCTCTCTATATATATATATATATATATATATATATATATATATATATATCCGTTTTTATGTTATTTTGTACTATACAAATTCTTTATTTGTGTAATCGTTTTCCCACTTAAGGGGTGATGAGAAGAATTTTTGAATGGATTGATACCTATGCCTAGATCGCGGATAAATGGAAATTTTATTGATAAGACCTTTTCAATTGTGGCCAATATCTTATTACGACTAATTCCAACAACTTCAGGAGAAAAGGAGGCATTTACTTATTACAGAGATGGTGTGATTTGATTTTCTTTATTATTTAGTTTCTTTTTACTGCTCTTAGTCTTATCAGAAAAGGAGACACTTCGGGATAATAAAGAACAAATATTCTGCTTCCATATTATAGAAACAAACCTACGCTTGTTGAAGGTGAAGTTTACAAATAGAACGATTTCTTCCGTATAGTTACAAGATATAGAAAAGGAATAAATGCTTTCTTTTTTTTTTCCTTTTTATTTTCATCTATAAATTGTTAATGAACCCACCGGGTATTCATCGAAAGAAAGGAATTGCTTTCGATGAATACCCGGCAGAGCCATTTCGTTTTTTTCAATTAATGAATAATTTTTATTTTGATTTCAAGATGAAAGAACTCACTTTCTACCAAAATAGAAAATATTTCCAAAAATTGAACAAATTAACCATAGCACAAAAAAAGAATTTAAGACTTGAAGTGATAATAAAAATGGATGGCAAAACACGAAAGAATTTGGATAATTTAATTCTCGTTATAATTAGAAGAATTTGGATAATTTAATTCTCGTTATAATTAGAAATTATAAAAAATCAAATTATTTCATCATTAAAGCGAACAAAAGATTACTATATGGGCTTTTTCGAGTATTTTGTTATTAAGTATAGTTATGCTTTTTTCCATGAAGCTGGCTATTCCACAAATAAATAATATTCTATTTATCAATATTTATGGTCTTGGATGATTAATAATGATTTTTCAATAGAATGACTACTTAATAGATCCACTTACTCTATTATGTCAATGTTAATAACTACTCTTGCAATTCTGGTTCTTTTTTATAGTGATAATTATATGTCTCATGGTCAAGGATATTTGAGATTTTTTGCGTATATGAGTTTTTTCAATACTTCTATGCTGGGATTAGTTACTATTTCGAATTTAATATAAATTTATATTTTTTGGGAATCAGTTGGAATGTGCTCAAATGTTTTGTGCAAACAATTTTTTCTATGATATAATACGCCTAATAGTATGAACAAAAGTTGTATAAAAAAAAATAGTATGAACAACAGGGGGGGTTATTTATCATCAGTTCACTTATTAAATAGGAACTGTAGTTTACTGTAGTTGGCTAGTTGATATATACTTCCACCGTTCTATATAGAACTCCCAGCTTTCTGTTCTGGCTGTTTCAACCAGCACATGAAACAATACTTCTGCGTTTTTTAGTTTCCTTTTCTTTTCTTCTTTGGTAATTGGATTATTAAAATGGCTTTTTAATTTTGTTGTACTTTCCCCATTTTAGAAATTGCACCATTTGCTTTAGGCACAAGATATAAGAAATGGAGTTAAAGGTGGGGATACCAAAAATGTCCATGTTACTACCAAAAAGAAGAGAGAGAAAATGGTGCATTTCAATACAAAGAGAAAGTAGCTGCCACAAAATAATTTCGTTTGATGTCTGCTCTTTGACGTATATGTTTATAATTTGCTGAGATTTTGTTTCAGTTTCCTGTTTCCAGGGTGCAAGATAACTCGAATGAGCAATTTGATAATTCTCAGAAACCAGTAGAGGTTCAATCAATGAGTTTAGGTTCAGGAGCTTATGAGTATAGAGTAGATAATGGATCTTCAGTTGCCGCTGCTGAGATGTTGGAACGTTCTTCTACTGGTGAATATGCAAGCAGTTCTACTGATGCTTCTGGTACTAATGGCTCCCTTCCTGAAAATTCCAACGACTTGTCTAATTTGCCACTGGATGATGATGCTGTGTCCAATAGTGGATCTCCTTGGTATGAACTGCGAAGGGATGCAACAGCTCTTGTTTCTCAGTCTCTTCAGAGGGGATGTAAAAATTTTTGGCAGCTTATGACAAGTCGTGTATCAGTATTGCTTTCATCAGCTGCATTTTGTTCAACAAGCATTCACCAATTTCTCAAAAATTATGAGGATTTAAATGTATATGTTTTAGCTGGGGAATCATTCTGTGGTGCTGAAGCTTCTGAGTTCAGGAAAAAACTGAAGGCTGCATGTGAAAATTACTTTAGTAACTTTCATAAGCAGAATATATATGTAAGTTTGCTCTCACATGAATTTATTTCTCCTCAAGTATAATGCACCAAAAATAGAGAAAGTAGACTAGTAGAGTATGCGAGCATCTTAAAAAACAAAGTGTTTCTCTAAGAAAACAGAGGGCAGAGGGTGTAAAATTCAAATGATTCTTATGTTTACTCCCTCCGTCCCAAAATTAAAATCCACATTACTATGTTTGGATGTCTCAAACGATGAAATAAACATCCTCTTTCCCTCTAAGTTATTGACAATGCTTTAAAGAGTTTAGACCACTTGCAGGACTTGGAACTTTACCCTAAGTTATTTTTTTTTTGTCATGAACTTACAGAGCTGATGTATAATGAGAGAGACAAGAAAATGCAGTATTTTGAAATAGGACAAGGAATGGATAGAATATCTTTTGTAAATATTTTTTTTGACAAGATCTTTCGTAATTAATAATTAGTCTAGCATACCTTTTACATGGTCAAATGATGAAATGTGGAAACTTTGAAAAGGGTGTTGCATCAAAAAGCAGGTTATGTGTTATATTAAAGCTGTTAAAATGGGAGTACTTCAGTGCTTTTGTGAAACTTTTTGCAAGGGTATGTCTATGGTTCTTTGCTTCATTTATGTTTTCTCATATCAACTGTAAAGACATCTTGTCCATGGATTGTACTTTTCCTTAACATATATATTAAATCACATTGTTCACATGTTTACGTAATTGCTTTTGGGACAGAACTTTTTCTATTTTATGTCATTTTAATCATTTATACTCTGACACTCTGTATGATTGTGCTCTCTATGCTGCAATGATTCATTTTTCCATATTATCAGGCATTAAAGATGGTTTTGGAAAAGGAAAGTTGGCAGAAATTGCCTCGTGATGCTATTCAAGTTGTCAGTTTTGCTGGTCTTGTTGGTGATGGAGCACCTTTAATTTCTTCCTTAGATTTTGGCTCAATGAATGCTGGGCTACATCAATCTAACAAATTAGTGCCTTCTGGTGAATTTGGGTCTCGAAAGAGTGGATTTTCTCATTGGATTAAAACTGGAAACCCTTTCTTAACGAAAGTTTCCTCTCCTACAAACTGTCATACATCATCTCCATTTGTTGACGGAACATCAGGTTCTGTAGAACCTGATAATTCAGCTACTGGATCTGATACTACTGAGAAGGTTACTCATGTTGAAATTAACATAAATCATTCCAATGGTCGGGCTTCTATTCTAGATGATGAAAACGAAGATCTTCTTGCTGACTTCATTGATGAAGATAGTCAACTCCCTAGCCGAATATCTAAGCCCCACCTTCCGCGCAATCACTCTTCACAATGGAGAGATGATGAGGCTGCAGCACAAACAGGATCTTCACTTTGTCTCTTGAGGTAAAGATAAGTTTGTCTTGAGATTTTGAAACATGCAGACATAAAAGATGCAATTTGCTAAGCTTAACTTTTACAGGTTCATGGACAAATATGCTAGGCTTATGCAGAAGTTAGAAATTGTTAATGTTGAATTATTCAAGGCAAGTATATCCATATCTGTAGATTTGCTTCATTGCTAAACTATGTAATTCTAGGCTTCGAAAATCTTCAGTTTTCATTTTGTGTCTTGTTTTTCTGTATTCATTTTTCTTTATGTTTTAAAGTTTTAATTAATACTTTTTGTTTCACATGGTTACCTTTTGTAGGGATTATGCCAATTTTTTGAGATCTATTATTACTTTGTCTTTGACACATTTGGCCATCAAGACAGCTGTGCAAACGGAAGAGGTGATGCCGAGACTCTTAATCGTAAGTTTCTGCTTTCTATATTGTTTCCTAAATTATTTGATGTCCATCTTGAAGATTACCATTCCTCATCTTCTCCAGTGCCTTCAGTTTTATGACTTTTATCATGTGTCAAGTAACTCAGGTCATTCGTATTGGTATGGTTTGCAGATCGTCTGAAGACAGCTGTTAACAGAATAACTCAAGACTGTGAACAATGGTTAAAGCCTAATCTGCATTATTCTTCAATATCGATGCCTGTGTCTCTAAATTCATCATCCAAAAACATGGATCTTACACCTACAGTTCCTCCTGGCACAAATTTCGGCCAATCTCCAGGACTCAAGGTGTTTGCTTAGTAGGGCCACTAATCTTTTATCATTGTTTATGTATATTCCTGTGGCTGAAATAGAGAAGATCCACAAACAAGTTTCTAATTCCTCAAATACCTCTTCCACATCCTTAGGGGTTGGGGGATCCTCTATGAAGGTTGGCTGAAATAATAAGATGTTTTCAATTACACTGTGAATTTATATTAAGCATAGATGAAATGTAGCTCCTAGAATTCTTCCATCGTAGGTAAATCATCTCTAGCCTTAAGGTTAAATGTCCCTAGTATCAGTTGTACCGTGAACACTTTATCTTGTTCGCTGCTGTGACCTGTGAACTGAAGTTTTAAACTCATTGTGGTCTGTGGTGCTATTGTTTTTTCTCTCTAGCCTTGTTAAGGATTAGAAGGTTGTTGTACTACTAGATATCTGTATTGCTAAGGGATTCACTCTGAGCATGTCAGTTTTCTTAACTGCTCATATATCTTTCTTTATACACCCTAGATTCATTATTCTGTTTTGTATTGCTGTCTTATATCATGAACCTAGCCAGTCTGAATGTATTCTGTCTGTAAATGACACATGTTTTGGATGAAGGTTATATTCCCCCCTTTTTTTTCGACACAATATAGCTTAATAAATGGCCTTCCGGCTGAAAAATGCATATTTTTTTTTATGTCAAAAGACAATCTGCAGTTTGCATTTCTCTGTTAAAAGAGTGGTCCTTTTGATGTGCAGGAAACTTGTGCAGCTGTTGATACAGTATCTCTTGTTGCGAGCATATTGCGTAGGTCAAAGGCTCATCTTCAGTCCATGCTTTTGCAAAATAATCCAACTGTAGTTGAAGATTTTTTTGTGTTTCTGGTATGGACGTTTCTGTTCCACAAGCAGCTTGAACTGAGATTGATCTTAATACGCTTTATAAACATGTTGCTACATGATGGCATATTTTATTTTATATTTTTTTAACTTGTGTCACAGTGATCTGTAAAATCTGGACATCTTTTTATTGGCAATTTGATAACATGAACCTTATTGTGAAATCCTCACTTTCTAATTTGCTGCTGAAAATGATTATTAATTTGTCTCTAGTATTTTTTAATACAATTGTTGGCATCTAATTTTCTAAGTCACTTCTGTAATTGATTATGATATATGATATTTTTGATCCAGGTTGATTCTGTTCCGGACCTCACAGAGCACATCTATAGATCAACTGCAAGATTGCTTCTTCACATCAATGGGTAAGACATCCATAATTCTTAAAAAAATTTACTAGTAGATCTTTAAGTGTATTATATAGATAAGTTATTGTGTTTCAGTTGTATTTTGCTCAGTTGGCCTCGATAAATGTTTTGCCAGTTCTTGTTATCTGTAATGTCTTTGATTGCTTTATATTTTTGGATGTGTTGGGGGATGAATTGCTAGGGATAATTGCTTTGCTAAGTGACATGGAAATGGAATCATTGCATAAGTGACTGTTTATCCTTTACATGTCTCCTTAAAAGTACCGAGGAACAAGTAGTAGTTCTGTAGTTACCAGTGAAGGTATGTGTTGTCTAAAAGTCTAAAACTACTGCATGCTTGGGCTCCACTTCGAGGCTTCAGTAGGGTTTGGATGCAAACAGCTTTATCCCTGGAAAAGCAGAGATTTGGTTTTTAAAATCTTCAAATTACATTGGACTCTTCTAAATGAACTATTGCTGTTACATCCAAGACTCGTGAATTTTGTAAAAGATAAGCATCTAAAACTTGTTTTAAAAAGCTAGCCTTAGGCGCGCCTAGGCGCAAGGCAAAATCAGGTAGGAGAGTTGGCGCCTAAGGTCTGTGAGGTGCAAAGACCTGCAAAAGGCACGCGCCTATGTTCTAGTTTTCTAGGTTACTTCTTCTGCGCCTTAGGGCCTTATATTCGGCTTATATAGTAACGTGTCAATAGCTAATGTGTAAGATAATCTTTTTAAATATAGGAGAGAGAAACCCCATATCCCCCAATTCCATTTGAAGAAACCCATATTCTAGTTTCAAACTTTTTTTTTTTTTTAATAGGAATTAGTATATTTATTTATTTATATTATTAAAGTGCCCCTTGCCTACAAAAGGCGTGCGCCTTTGCCTTGCTCCTAGGGTTTAATGAATTATGCACACAACACACTGGTGGCCTTTGCACCCTTTATAATTAAGATCTAGAATCTTGAACGTCGTGTATTGATGGGATATCTGATATATATATACTAGGTCAAACCTATGCCATGCTCTATTTTTGAAGAGTAAATATTTCCTCCATTTTTATTCACTTGCAACACACCGCTTTGGCATGCACATAAAGGGAGATATTGGGCTAGGTAAACGGACAAATTAATTGACAATTTTACAACCGATAAGAAGAAAGTGATAAGTTGCTATGGTATAAATTTTATAGCTTAGTTCGTCTGTTTACTTAGTTTCATTTCCTCTCAATCTCTCATAGCGTGTCAAAAAGGCGTGTTGCAAGTATGTATATATAAAAAAACCGGAGGAAGTAATTTTTTTTTTTGATAGCAAATTTAATGCAAATTTAGGAAGGATTTTAGGAATATAGATATCATCATCATCCTTGATATTGTATGGTGACATTCATGCTGTGATGTTTTTTTTATTAATTTTCAATTTTATTATATTTTAAAACAAATTTAAATTGTCTAATGACTAAGTGAGCCTATGTCTTGTGGAAGCTATAAGATTGAAGAAAAAATTGCTGGAGCCAGATATGCTCTGCATATAAGTCAACATCTACTTGTTTGTATTGATTGTGATTGAAAATGCAGAGAGTTGGGTGGATGGGTGTGGGTCCTTATTTAGGAAATATAAAGAGAAACTTGGCATGAGTAGCTGAAAAGTTATATGAGGACATTATTGAAAAGTGTGAGGTGTTAACGAGGTAGTAAAAGCTTAGACTAATGAAGAATAATGTTGGCTTGCTATATCGCTGCCCTTTTATTTTAAGTATTGTTACATCACTTGATTATTGATGTGAATGTTGGTTGTTAGGATACTGGGTTAACATGGAGAGAGATTTACTGTGGTAACATTTAACTTTAAGTCTGAATTTTATTTCTAAGATGTTTATAATGGCATTAAGAGTTGGGTCCAGCGGGATCATTTTTGGAACAATGTTCGAAGTTTAATGCTATGAATTAACTTAGCTTAGACAACATTAAAGGCAGTAATCAAGTGTTTTGATTAATCAAATGTAATTGTGAAGTTAAGGATTTCCAAGCTATTGAGAGGCTCGATACTCTCCCAATTAAGCACTATAAAAACTAATCAAAACTCTCATAATATATTACACATCTTACCTCTGCCTATACTGTTCTACCTATAGCTTCCGTCCTACCTAACTACATTACTTTCAAGCCACTAATAACTATAGTATATAGTACTATTACCTTAAATGCCCTTCTCCCTTATATTGATGCTTAGCATTTTCTGTCGAACATTAACTTTATGTCATCTTCATTTCTATTATTTCTGAACCAACATGTTGGAAGCCATGGTGAGTTAATTACAGGAAAATTAGATAAGTATATAGTGGCATTTGAAAGCAATTGGATCAGCTACTTGGCAATTTTTAAAGTTATATTGCAAGAAAGCATCATAATGAGATAATGTCTGGATAAGTATATATTGAGATAAGTTATATACCTTACTTTAGCTTTTTTGTGATTTGATTAAATTTTTAAAATAAGTTATGTAAGCACATATAATACAAGTTTATTAATATTAATAATGTTTTTCAAGGTAGTTTTCATCAAATGGCTCAAAAGTTGACTGTAAACATAGTTTTTAGGGTTTTAAAGGTCCTTATGCGTTCACATGTCATCTACTGTACACAACTGACATGCCCCCCCGCCACCTTTTTTTCAAAGAATAAAAACTTATAATCAGAGCATATAATTTTTTATTTTTAATCAGGCATTGTTGGGGGGGGGGGGGACAGGGGAACAATATGATTCTGTCCCAATTCTCCGAATACATGCAAACCAAGGTGACATTTTCCATTCAGGAGCCTCAGGGCCATCATTAATTGTCTGAGCCTCAGGGCCATCATTAATTGCATGAATCTTCTTTGTTATGGCTGTAGTATATCAACGTATTTACGCTATTTTAGTGTTGTGTACACATATATTCTTTCATCATTAGCTTTATTCACGGCAAATGTTTTCTAGGTATGTTGAGCGTATCGCCAATGCTAAATGGGAAGTTAAAGAGCTTGGAATGGAGCACAATGGGTAAGTTTATATATTTTGAATAGAGTTTGTCTCAGTTGATAATTGATTTAGCATTAATGATCACATCTTTTGCTTTTTTTTTTTTTAAAAAAAAATAATTGTTTCTCACCCTAAGGAAAACCCATCTCGGCTTTAGCTCCTTCAAAATAAAAAATAAAAAGAAAATTTGTCAAAAATAAGCTAACCTTTATCCGGTTAGCTCAAAATAAGTCAACCTTTTGATTAACTAAAATAAGTCGACTTTTATAGGGTATTATCATTTAATGAGTCATGACCGGTTGACAACCTGCTAAACAAGTTAATATGACACGTGTTGCAATTTTATTGGTCTAACATACTCCCTCCGTTTCAAGTTACTCGCAACAAATGGGGTGATTGCGGACTCCTAGGCAAAAGATGGCAAGTGTAATTAATGAAAAATAAGGGCATGTGTTTAGTATTAATCCAACCCAAAAAAAAACAAAAAACAAAATCAAACATAACCACCAAGCACCCATCAGCACCACCGCCACAACCTACAAGCACCACCACCTAGCACCATACCACCACCACCACCCAACAGCACCATAAACCCAGAAAATTCGAACCAACCAACAACACCCAAACCCACCCAACAACTACAACCCACCACCACCCACAAACCAAATTTCGAACCCAGAAAATTCGAACCACCCAAAATCACCCAACAACCACAACCCACCACCACCCACGAACCAAATTTCGAACCATAAAAACCCACAACCCCGATGTCGAACCACAAAACCCACAACCCCAATTTCGCCCACAATCCACGAACAAAGAGAACCCAAAATCCATCCCCTGAGAGAAATGGAACCCTAAATATATGAGCCAAAGATTGTAAATGACAAACTAATTCATCAATTAAAGCTTTAATTGGTCAAATGTAACCATCAAAACTCTAGATCTAGAGTTTTCATGGGTAAATTTGACCATAAAACATTCAAATTTGAGCTTCACCGGCAACGACGAAACAACAAGAAAAAGAAGAGAGAGAAAACGGTGGCGGCCACAAGCAACGGGACAGTGGTAGTGAGTTGATAAACAGAGATAAGAGATCGCCGGTGGTGGTGGTGGTGGTGGTTGATAAACAGAGATGGGAGATCGGTGGTGGTGGTGGTGGTTGATAAACAGCGGTAAAGAAGTTCTTGGTGACGAAGAGATAGGAGATTGGTGGTGGTGATTGATAAAGAAGGTAATGAATTTAGATAGAAGGGAAATTATTTTGGTAGAAATGATTAGGTTAATTTATGATAATGCTTAAGTTAATAAGATAAAATTAGTAATTTAATTAGGGTGTTAAAAAAAAGTAAGGGTAATTTTGTACAATCACATAAAAAAACTTACTATAAGAGGGGGAAAAAAATTGGGAAATTCTCTTTGATAAACCTCTAATTTTTACTTTTCTCAGTGGTAAATTGCAAAAATTCTTATTATCTTTGGTAAACCTAAATTATTGGTTACCATTGATAAGTGTTATTTTAATAAAGATTCTTAACTATAGTTAGTTTTTATTTTTTTAATAATTAAATTATTATAAAAATATTTTATTTTAAAATAATAAAATCAAACCGGCCCTTCCCCCACCCAACCTAGCCACCGGCAGCCCCTCCCCCTGCCGGCGGCCAGGCCTCGGCCAAAGTCGCCCGACCTCCCCCACTATCGGCCGGCGACGCCCGACCTCCCCCACCCTCATTCGGCGACGCCCAACATCCTCCGCCTCACCTTCTCTCTTTCCCCGCATCTTCAAACGTCCCATTTCACCACCTAACGGCCACCGGCGACCGCAACACTAACCAACCCGAAATCTAACCTCCTTCTCCGACGACTCTCCTCCCCTTTTCGCGCGGCCCAGGAACCTTTAACCCCACCCAAAACCACCCGAAAACCAAACTTATTTTCTAGGTTTAATTTGGATTCAATACCCTAAATGGGTTTGGGCTTTTTGTGTTTTTGGGTGGGGTTTAGGATTTGTGGGTCGACGAACAAGGGAGAGGGGTCGTCGGGGAAGAGGGGCGATTTTCTGGGTGGTTAGTGCGGTCGGGGAAATGGTACATTTTGAGATGCGGGGAAAGAGAGAAGGTGGAAAGGGGGAGGCCATCGCCGGTTGGGGTTGGGGGAGGTTGGGCGTCGCCAGGTGGGTGGGGGAGGACGACGCACCGGCGATGGTGGGTTGGGCGCCGGCCGTGGGTAGGGGTGGCGGAGAGTTGGAGGAATTGGTGATCTTGATGATGAGTTAAGTGAGGGTATTTTAGGATTTTTTTTTTATTTTAAAAAAAATGTTAATCATGGTTCAATATTAACTAAATTGCTTCATTAAGTTCACCATTGAAAAAATATAACAAATTAAAGTTTACCAAGGATAATAAGAATTTTTGCAATTTATCACTAAGAAAAGTAAAAATTAGAGGTTTACCAAAGAGAATTTCCCAAAAAAATTTGTTGCAAGTAATGTGAAACGGCCATTTTTGGTAATTGTTGCGAGTAATATGAAACGGAGGCAGTATAAAATTTTAATTTTTTAAACTTAGTTTTTTTACTTCTTTTTCAAACAAAAAAAAATCATTTCTCTCTCCTACTTCCACCACACCCTTATCTCTCTTCCCCCCAACCACCCTTTTCGATCTCCTCCCTAAAGCCTCCATTAACGAAGGAGGCATCGCTTTACCAATTACTTCGGTACATTACAACCCAATAAGTTGGTCAGCTCACCGGTGATGACTCGATGGAAATGGCGGTGAGCAGCGATGCCCGTCCCTGAGCCCTGGGAGAAGAACTCTTTCATACTTCACTACTAATATTAAAAAGCTTCCGCAATGCTGTGTTAACCAAATAATTTCAATCAATTTTCATAATTTAGGCTCGAAACATCACTTACACATTTGATTCAATTATCAGATTAAGCAAAGATCCCTAATTTGAGTGAACTGATAATTTAACTAACGATAAACCTTAGATTGTGAGATTGATATTAGATGATTATAAAATAAAAATTACTGAAATTACCTCACTTAGAACTTAGAAGCTTCTTCAATGGAGAATAAAAATTGTCAGAAAGTGGCTCCTCAATATAAAACAAGAAGTGCGTTTCAGTGAAGAACATTGATTTCAGGTGAGGTAAGGCGACGGCCGGGGTGATGCGGTGGTCTCCATGTAACTCCATGTTTTAATGGTGGACAACTGCTGCGTTCATGGGTGACAAATGGTAGTTGGGTGGCTAAGTGGCTTTGGCTTGGTGGTGGACTGGTGGCTGGCAGTGGCAGTCTGGCAGGTGGTGTTCAAGCCTCATTGGAGTAGAGCATTTTTTTTTTTCCCAAAAAGAATAAAAGATTCTTTTTTAAAAAAGAAAGTGACTTGTTGGACAGGTTGAAGGTCATTTAACTTAATTAAAGATAATACCGTATAAAAATCGACTTATTCTTAGTTAATAAAAAAGTTGACTTATTTTGAGCTGACCGAGTAAAGGTTGGCTTATTTTTGACAAAGTTTCCAAAATAAAAAGCTGAAAAAGTGGAGAACACCTGAAATTTAAGTTTTGGAGGTTGCAATTTGGAAGTTAAAGAATTTTAAGCTTCACTTTTTAACTGATTCAAACCTCAGTTGACTTAATGTCCATAACCTAAAGTCTTTCTCTGAAGCTCCATCTTTTCCCCGTTTTCCAAAATCATGGGCTGCAGCATTCAACGTACTGATAGTAGTATTTATAACGAGGCTGTATTACTGTGTACTAAAACCTAAAACCTGTGGAAATGCATATAGTAGATGAACTTGGTGCTCATGCATTTCAAAATCACTGCAAGCAGTCTGATGGTTTTTCTTACATGATTAACATGAACAGTTATGTTGATTTGCTTTTGGGAGAGTTCAAACACTACAGGACAAGGCTTGCTCATGCGGGAATTCACAAGGAGGTAATTACTTGCAACTAGTTTAATTACTCCATTGAATTTTATTTTTAATTGATAAGGCTGATGAGCATTCTCGTGGGATTAAGGCATTCTGTCATTACTGGGTTTGAATTTAGCATTCACCATTTTGTAACTTGTATTAGATAGTCATACTAGTGTCATGTTTTGTATTATGGCATTATGCTCATTCAGGAATCTTGATTCTTTCACCAACATAATCTGTAGCTTCATAGTACAAATATCACTTTATTATGTCAGAATGTGGTTTGGGGATTTAGGGAATAAGAGGAATTAAGTGATCTTTGAGCTCACCTGGGAGGAAGAAATAAAAACCAGAAGGAATGAAAATGTAATTTTCTAAGGTGTGATTCTACTAGCATAGGAATCAACTTTCAGCTAGGAATATTTACAACTTTAGAAATTAAAGAAATTTTTAAGATGTGGTTTAACTGCCGTAGTGGCCTGTAATTTGTTATTGTGAGTGGTTCCTTCAGGGCTATAAATAAAGGGGGGGTGTTAAATACCGCCAACATTTAAGGTAAATGGACACCAATACCCTTACTATATTCCCACCTTCATCTTCTTCTTTCTCTCATCACCCATTAGGGCTACAACCACCACTTCCATCAACCACAACAGTGGCCGTACATCGGAGGTGGAGAGAAGCGACAGCCGTACATCGGAGGTGGAAGGACAGCGGTGGCGAGGATTGGAGGTGATGAACTCGCATCACGCGTGGTCAGAAATACCAGTCCGTCACCTCCAATTTTTTTTATAATTATCTCCGATGACCAGCACAACCGGCGCGAAAATCCGATTACCCAGGACGGGTGACCGGTTTTGCACGGCGTTTACCATGGTTAACCGACGCGGGAAACTGGCTATCGTCCCGGTTAACCAGTTTTGCACGCCGGTTGTGCTGGTTGCGGGATTTAAAATGAAACCACCACCTTCCTGTCGACGAGTGAAGGTGGTGGGTCGTTTTTCCGATGGTTGTTGCTGCATCGTTCGGGATTTTGGTACAAAAAAAATCTGGTACTTCTTGATGGATGTGGGCAGTGATGGTGGGGGTGGTGGTCGTGCTGGCGTGAGTGGTAGTCGTGGTGGCGTGAGTGGTGGTGGCAGTGTTGGTTGCTTTTGTAGTGATTGACGGTTTAGTTTGAGGCTTGATGCACTTAGGAGAGAGAAAGCAAAGCGGGGATGAGTAAGGGTAATTTTGTCCCTTTATCACTTTTGTTGGCTGTTTGATAAAAAAACGTTGGCGATATTTAGCAATTCAGTAAATAAATTTTTCTGGTACGATTCCATTTGAACAAATTCCTCCCCCCCCCCCCCCCCCCCTCTTTTTTTAGCAGGTTCAAGAGCTTCTTTTGGAATATGGTGTTGAAATTGTAGCAGAGACACTTGTTGAGGGACTATCACGTGTAAAAAGGTGTACTGATGAAGGCCGAGCTCTAATGTCATTGGATCTACAGGTTTTCTTCACAATTGCTGTACAATTCAGATGCTGTTTGTTTACAATTTCTACCCTCCATGTGTTTATTAATCCTATCTGACTTATGTTTTTTCAGGTGTTAATTAATGGACTTCAACACTTTGTGTCAAAAGATGTAAAACCAAAAATGCACATAGTTGAGACATTCATTAAGGTAAGAATATGTTGGCATGTTGTTACAAATTTATAGGTGAAAATTAGTTTACGGGTAGCCTTTATTTGTTAGGAAAATTTAACAAGAATAATCCAACTTTTGCTCCATTCTCTCAAAATAAGCCGACCTTTTGATTATTCCTGAATAATCTAACCTCTGCTACCCATTTTCTCCTAATGAACCCATGTGACAGGTAACCATAACGCCAAGTAATTTTTTTCCCCCCTTTTTCCTCTTACTCTATCTTCCTTCCTCATTATTACTTAGAGACATTCCAGGGAAGCCCCTTTAAACACCACCGCCCACCGCCACAAGCATCCACCACACTTTCTTCCTCACCCCATCACCTTTACCTCCTCTTCTTTCTCTATTCAATTTTTCTTTCCTCTGATTATTCTTAAAACAACCACCACCAGTCCATCATTAACCCTCCTCCCTAAACAATTTTCTGATTAACTGCACATCTCGGCCGGCAGTGACCCGAGATTATTGAAAAAAATGACATAAAAGCTTATCACATTGATTGAGCGCACTTCCTGACTCGATTTTAGTCAGTTGGTTTTAAATTTGTGGGTGGTTTGAGGTTCATGGTAAATGAGGGTGGTGAGTGGTAGTGGTGGTGAGTGGTAAGTAGGGGTGGTGATCTTTGTGTTAGAGTGGTGGTGGTGATCTTTGTGTTAGAGTGGTGGTGGTGCAGTGGTGAGTGATTCGTGGTGGTGGTAGCGAGGTTCGTGTTGAGTGGTGAGGTTCTTGTGAGTGGTTGTTGGTGGGTAAGTGAGAGGGGAGCTAAGGTGAGGTGATGTAGTAAATAGTAATGGAGGAACTGAGGAAGGTAGTGATAATGGGGAAATGCCATGGAAAGGAGAGGAGAGAGAAAGAAGCAGGAAGGGGAAGACTGGACGAGAGAGAGAAAAGTTTTTTTAAAAAAATATTAATTTTAATAATCAAAATTATAAAAATAAAAATAATATAATGTTTTAATAAAAAATTCAAAAACTTTATCCAATAAAGAAGTGACGTGGATTGGAACCTCTTGTAATGGTCAAGTGACCTGCTACTCTGCTAGGGTTGTGAAGGGAAAATGGGTAGCAAAGGCTGGATTATTAAGGAATAAGGATTAATTTGGAAGAACCACGCAAAGGTTGGATTATTCTTGTTAAAATTTCCTATTTGTTATTGGTTTTATTTATTTATCTATTTATTTTTTATAGGCATACTACCTTCCAGAAACTGAGTATGTTTACTGGGCTCGTGCACACCCGGTATGTAAAACTATAATTCTTTTTCCCTACTGTATTCTTCTGCTTATTTCCGTGTCTGTTGTTCATCGTGAATAATGGGTGAATATAAGTGAATGTATTGTCATATTCATTTATCTTACATCAAGTTGTATTCTTCTGATTATTGTCTCCAGGAATATACTAAAAGTCAAGTTGTCGGGTTAGTTAACCTTGTAGCAACTATGAAAAGTTGGAAGAGAAAAACGAGACTGGAAGTTATTGAGAAGATAGAGTCGTCTGCATGATTGAGTTGGATACAATGTTAGGGTTTTCTGTATTTAATCATCTTGTTTTTTTTTTTTTTTTTTTTTTTTTTTTTTTTTTATTATTATTATTTATTTATTTTTAAATGTAAATTGGAGAGTATTTTATCTTCAATTTTTCTGTAGATAGAAGCTGTACATCATGTAATTTCCATTTTGTAATATATGGTGGTGGTTTGGAATCACCCCTTATGAAAGCACAAACAAGAACAACTATGTAATTTTGGATCACATTGAATATCACTAAGCATATAATAGAAAAATTTTCCACATTTCTGGTGCATATTCAGCGATGTCTGTGTACACTGGTGACCTGGTGTTCCCTTCATTTTGATAGTTACTCAATATTGTAACATCATGTGATGGCATAGTTAGTTTTAGATTCAGATTTGAATAAGAAAGCGAGACCTTGTAAATTGATTAAAATTCCTGTCAAACTAGAATTTCATAGCAAAAGTTTACCAATTTGAACGATAATGCAGTAATATGAAAATCCCCAAAACGAAAGCAAACACCATACACAGTTTCTACTAATTGTGAATTTGAGATTGTCAGTGTGCTAGCCACCATGCCGGCGGGTTGGCCAGGCACAGACACTTGGTGGCTCATCCTGAACACTAGGCACGACCATTGAGTCATTACACGAGCCAATGGCCCTGTTCACATATTTCCTGGAGTGTGAACATATGTAAGTATCAGGCACGTCAAGGTTGATTGTTTCAGACACGGGGACGCAATGGATTCGCATGCCCGAACGCCATAATGGAACATATATTTTTGTTTTTGGAAGGTTGTTATAATTGAGCTTTAATGTGCAAATATATATACACACATTTTAGGTTGTTGAAATGCGATCTGGTGCTGATTTGTGAGCTCATTTAGCACATATATCTTTCATTCCTTTTGCTTATAAATATTTTCTACGATTTTATGGCTGAAGTATCAAGATGAGCATTGATGCGTCAAGTAAGGATTCCATACCCATGTCAGGGTGTCGATTATCGGACATAGCTACTTAAGACAAAACTAACAATCAAAGTAAAATTGCCTAAATTATCATATATAGTTAACTAAATATAACCTCTCTTTTTCCCCTTTCCTACATTACCTGTAAGAAGACTTTTTTTTTTTTTTTGAACAATTGAAAAGTTGCAATCAATCAGCTTTTTCACGAAAATAAAACCTCTCTTTCTCTATAAAATTCTCTTTAACTCATCTGTTGATTGTTGACTGATCAACCATCTGTACATTAAATTCCTAACATTTACCCTTTTTCATTCGCACACATTTAATGTGTGCACAGTTATTCATTGACCACACTGTAAATTTATCATAATCTTTCTATCTGATGCGTCTTTTATGTAGCAGGAGACTGCGTAATGTTACCCACCATTTTTAATGCAATACATGGCTGCTCCAAAGGTACCTGATTAATAAATATCATAAAGTAAAACGGATTAATGAATTTGCGACAGAATTTAAAAAACTCGTACTCAACTGTTATTTTATCGTACACCCATACTTTAAAATTATAACTTCACTAATAACAGTTAGTTGTACAGCTAACAGCGACCCTCACAGTCACAACTACTTTTGTCGAACAGGCTGAAACTGAGATGATAATACACAGGTTTTGTTCAGCTGTCAGCTGACTTTCTGTTTGGAGAAAATCTCTGCTAGTCAGCCAACAGTCTTTTTCCTGACTTCCATATCAGTTACTTCATGTAATAAATGATTGGGTCAAGCCTGTTGGTATGTGTATAGAAATGAAACTACCCTACTCGTTTTTGTAAGGTGATTCGGACACGGGTATTTATTAATGTAAATCAAAATTTGTCAAAGTTCGGATGTTTTCGGAAATAGAATTTACAAAAATTTAAAAGCTAAAATTAGTATCTCACTATTCAATCAGATTTGGTAATCTTGGCTGGAAATCACTTATTCCTTTTGATTTTAGTGATTTTTGGAAGCCCTTCCTATTTTTGGATTGGGGTAAGTGCATAACTGATCACAATTGATCCAACCAATTGTAGACATGATCATGTTATTGATAATGAGGTCTATCTATTTTACTAGTGGGATGCTAATATTGTCTTTGAATTTTTAAAAGGAAACTTTGGTAATAATTTGTTGGAACCAGGAAAAATAGAACAGTAAAATTAGTCATATTAAAAAAAAAAAAAAAAAAAAAAATCAATACAAGACTATTAAATCAACAAAAACATATGAAAATGACAAGGGTAAACCACTAGGAAAAAAAGGGGCTAAAATGGATAGATTGTCATCAATATCTTTGTTAAGCAAATTATTATTTTACTCATCCAACATGTTCAATTGTTAGACAATTAGCCGCACTTGCTCGTTACCAATGATGTTATTCACGATGGTTTCACAAATGATACAAACAGCTGGGTAGGGTCCCATGACCATGAGATAAAGGATGATGATGGCATGAAACTATTCATTGGCCATAATGATGATGTATGATGATAAGAATGATTCAAGAAATTATTCAAAAATAAAGTTGTAAAAGAGAAAAAAATAATTAAGAAACTTACAAAGTGTCCAGCTCCAAGAATCCAATAGAAATGCAGATTCTTGTATGACCTGTAAAACCCCTTTGTTCCTGCTTCACTGTCACAGTATAGGGGTGTCCTACTCTCACTTAGAAAACTCTTTAGACCTTCCCACCTGATAATTAATCACATTTTCATTAACATCATTATAAAATTTTAACAATTTAATTTCCTTAATTTACTAAATTAGGTGATTTATATAATTTTTTTTAAAAAAAAGATGCCTCGGAGAGAATTTATTTGCCAAAAACTAGTGAGTATTTGATGGACTTACTTGAGCTTCTCCACCCATGCTTGTGTTCCTTTGGTTGCACAAATGACATCAAGCTAATCATACAAAATGAAAAAAACATTATTAAATATTATTCGCTTAGATAGATGATTATAGTAAGCAAATAGTACCCGTTTTATCTTTTTGGGTACCACCTGTTTTGTTATACAATATACATATAACTTAATTAAATGATGGAGAGAAACAATAAATGATGAGAGCATGTTTACAATCAACCCTAAAATACCAACTAGCGGCATTTATCTTATAAATTGGATATGATACAAGCTCATGAAACCCTTTATGTAACTAATAAAGCTCATAATCACATTTTACATAATTCAAGTCACTTCATATTTACGGTGTATTTTTCAAGATCTTGGGTAATTTTTAGATTTTTTACTACCCCTTAAGCATTTATTAGTTGCGCATAGAATTATAAAAGCATATTGCTATCTAATGGAGATCTTGTAGCAAGAATTACATGTAATTTATAAATAAATAGGTGACACAATTAGTTGTATCTAGTTTATACAAATGCTTTTTGTCATTCCCTTTTTACTTTGTGAACCCAATGCCCCCTTAATGTACTGTCTTAAATAAACAGAATCAAGCGTATTATTATTTTTTTTAAAGACAATCAAGCGTATTATTTAAAAGTTGCTTAATTTTTGAAACCTAATAAACTAAGACAATCTTATTGAAATTAATGCAATAGATATTTATCAAATGGAACCGTATGGTATATACGGCGTAAACGTAACGGCATGGTTAGATAAGGTGGACACTACTTAAAAAGAATGGAATCAAGAATTCATTTGACGTGGATGACATAATAAAGTGTGGTGATATTGAGCCAAAGTTGTTGCTGAATTAATGGTCAACAAACCTAATCAACAAATTGAGGAAACCAATATGATAAAACAAAAAACTTAGGGACAATTTGGAAACAGTTGTTTCAACAATCATTATATAAAGTTGCAGTCGACATTCATAAAAATTGCAGCTTCAAATCTCCCACCCCATTTATACAGGGTATTGCCCTCATAGCTCATTTGAAAAAAAAAAAAAAAAAAAAATTCTATAGATTGAATTTCCAATCTCAAAGTTAATTAAACCGTATTTTATATTTAGATCGTTCGATAGATGTCAATTAGTTTAGTTTATTAAATGTTAAACTTTTTTTTTTATATCAATGCCTTAGCGAGTTAGACATAAGGACAAATAGATTCCCACCTATGAAGTGCAAGGATTAAACTCCCAACATTCGGGTTAGAGGTTTCTTTCCCATTATTATAACCTAATATTTATAGATAATATATTAAATACTACGCGCGTTCTATACTTCGCAAGAAATCAGGTGTGGCAGACATGGCAGCCAAACTAAGGGAAAACCGCATGCATTGGTTTGGACATGTAAGACGAAGCCCCGAGGATGCGCTAGTACGAAGAGTGGAAGAGTGGGACCATGAAGGGGTTAAATGAGGGAGAAGGGACTGAATTGACTTCGTTAACAGGAGTTATGAAGAATATGAAATATATGGATTTGTATGAGTATAAGGCATTGGTGCGTAAGGGATGAAGGAGGAGTATTTTTGTTGATGATTGTATGGAATAATTACTTTTGGTTCATGTAGTCGACCCCACTTATGAAATTAAGGCTTTGATTGATTGACGGGTTGATTGTAAATAGTACGTCCTATACTTCATATTACTAGGTTTCTTTATTTTTTATTTATTTATTTATTTATTTATTTATTTATTTATTTATTTATTTATTTATTATACTTCATATAAGACTAAAACTTTTAAAATACGTAGTAATTAGATTCATAGTATACACTTACTATCACCTCCAAACATAGATTGGGGTAGAAAGACTTACTTGTCCATTGTATATAGTAACGTCAACTCCTTTAGAAAGCAACTCGTCAACCTGTATGTATCACAATTATTCACAAATACATTACATGAGTTTGCTACAAAATATCTTGATTTTTTATAGAAGAGAGAAAATTTCTTACAATTGAATTTATCAGTCATTCAAGATTCTTTTTTTCTATATATAGTTTTCGACAATAATTATTTATTTTGTATTTTTTTTAATAAGTAATTTATTTTTTGAGAACACATTACTTAAGAGGTTTTAATAATGACATTGAACTTCAAAGAAAAAGGTTTTCCTCAAAAAAAAAAAAAAAAAAAAAAAAACATTCAAAGAAAAAGGTAGCTTCTTTGTATAAACGAGACTTTCTAGGATTATTAATGTCTTTACATTAATGTTTATATTGTCCAATAATAATCAAATAAATAATACGCCAAAAGCTAGAGTACAAATTGGTTCATTGTTCACTTATGCATTCAACATTATTTGTTTATGTTAGAGGAACATAAACACAAGCCGACATTAGCTAATGACAACAAATTTATCTTCCCATCATAGACTTCTTTTTTGTTCTTTGTATTGCTAGTTTCCTACAATGTTATCTATTATATTTCATCTAGTTTCATAACATATCACATTTTTATAATATGTCGGGTTTTAACAATTATGTAGCTTTGAGAGCCACGTGTAATCAATATACTTCCTCCGTTAATGGTTAATTGCAACAAAGGGGTATTATTTGTGAAATATAAAATATTCATTTGTTGCAATTAACCATTAACGGAGGAAGTATATAGAATCCTCTCTTTAATATTTCAATTATAAGTATGAAGTACCAAATCAACTAAACTGTGACATTTAAAAATAAATACTATATTATTTTAATAATGTATCGAAAATATATCAATTAAAAGGTGAGGAACTATAGGACGATTTTTCTAATGATCGTTGCATCTTTACTAATTATTGGTACATCCTATTTTATGAGGCTATATTCCGTATCTGCCAAACTGCCAGACTGCCATCATGGTTTCTTATAGAATAGTACACATTTAAGAACTAATAGAAGATGTGAATAACAACAATTGCACAAATTATTTACCTCAGCAATCCTAGGCTTCATGAAATCACTTTCAAGTGCATCAAAAACCAGGCCACCTTGGCCTCCCCACCTAACAAAATCATTTTATATCAAACATTAGTTATATTCATCATTAGACAAATTATTGGGAAATTCCCTGTTTCTAGAAACAATTTGTTTCTCATAATGGCATTTTCGTGAATAAATCAACAACTTTTTCATTATTGTGAGCTCCACAATTAAATAAAGTTGTTGGTTTATTTACGAAAATGCTATGTGTTTGTTTCTCACCATGAAAAACCGGGGCATCCTCCAAATTATTACATAATACTTCTTTTGTTCTAGATATCATAATGGGCACAAAAATTTAAAAAGTGTGAAAGAAACGCAAAATACATGTGAAATTGTGAATCACACACAAAAACCTTAAAAACCCACAAAAATCTTAAAAATGCGAGTATAATATGGGTAGTTGTTGCAATTTTTAAAGAACGGAACAAACATTTTTTATTCTTAGTAAGGAAAAAAAAAGCAAGGAAAAGTTTCTCTTACGTGACATTATCTGGAATAATTTTAAGCTTCTTTCTAACAGGACCATCCATTAAAGAACCAAGACCACCCTCATTTCCAGCAGGATAACTCCTTAAAGAAGAAAGGTAAGTTGAGTATCTGCCAAACACTAGCTTTTTTGATAATCCCACATTTGTTGTCATCGTTGTTGTTGTTGTTGAAAGTGGGTCCAAACCAGAATCCAGTAAAAAGTTGTAAAAGTCCTGCAAAAATTTGTACAAAATTACATAGGAAGACAACACACACCTTTCTCATAATTTACAAGTTACCTAAGTAGTTATTGCCTCTACCATTATTCTTAAGGGTTCGAGTTAGCCTGGCTCGGTAGAACCTTCTCCTCACTCAAAATAAAGATCATATTATATGTAACTTTGGAATTTTTTGTATCTCACAAATAATACCCCAAAGTTGCATATAATATGATTTGGAGGTAGTGGATTATCATTTATGTTCGTTGATATAAAAGGTGAAAATTACTTAGGCGATATGCATTAAGGGTAAATAGGTAAATTAGAGTAACTATTATTATGTCAATAGACTCAAAGCATAAATTAGGGTGTATTTTTAGATTACTAAATCGCGATAGAAATCATATTGATTAACTACCACTTACCACACTATTACTTCGAGAGCTGATATCACTCTCTAGTGCAGACCATGTTTCTGTGGCATTCTCAAATTGTCCCTTGCTTAATTGCTGCTTAATCTGCTCTGCTAAACTGATAGTACAAAATATCAATTAGAATGAAATAATATTTTGTCAAATTATGTTTAGACTCTTCGATGATTGAAAATGTGTCATTAGTATCATGCACGAGTTAAGATACACATAAAAATTAGGTACTTCTTCTCTCAGCTTAACTTTTATTAGTAAAATAACTTGATATTTATGCTAATACAAAATAATAACAGAGGTTTTTCCAGTGTGACAAGCCACATGGTACAACACGGTTACTTGTATTTTAGGGTTACTTGTATTTTAGGGTTACTTGTATTTTGGGGTTACTTGTAGGGTGTTACTTGTATTATGAGGTTACTTGTATGGGTTACTTGTATTGTGGGGTTACTTGTACTCTGAGTAACTCCAGACCAAAATCCCATACCAAACCAGTATCAACCTACAAGTAACCCCTGATCAAAACCAATAACAATCATACAAGTAACCCTAGAATACAAGTAACACCTGACAAAACCAGTAACACCCTACAAGTAACCCCGACCGAAACTAGTAACACCCATACAAGTAACCCCTATAAGTAACCCCTGACAAAACCAGTAGCACCCTATAAGTAACCCCGACCAAAATCAGTAACACCCATACAAATAACCCCATAATATAAGTAACACCTACAAGTAACCCCTGACAAAACCAGTAACCCTTGCCGCACCATGTGACCAGCCACATACAAAAATTTGTAAAATAATAATACTTTTGTAAAGATAGACCCCTTTACCTGTTAGCATTTTGAAATCCTTCATCATCAAGCCTTGAAACATCTTTAAGAAGAGGCCCCCACGATGACTACAAATAGGCACACAAGAATACTTAGAAATGAAAGGACAAAATAAAGGACAAAGGAAATATCTATGTTTAATAGAATGTCAAATTTGAATTTTCTCTTTTATTCTCCACATAAAACCCAAAGGAAGTATCTTTGTGTAATAGAATGTTAAATTTGAATCTTCTCTAAAATTTTCCACATATTCCCTCTCGCACACGATCAAACATTCATATACTCTGTCTCTTTTATGAAAAAAAAAATCAAATTTTAAATCTGAGTTAAATTAATAACCAATTATGATATATGCATGCATACATAAGGACTTAATATATATAAACGCTATATATATATATATATGGGAGGGATCCGGTGAGAATAGGTCAATATGTGAGAATTCATACTTATATGAAAACTGTTTAAAATTTAGAACATGTGAGTAAAATTTTAGAACATGTGAGTAAAAATTTAGAACATGCGAGTTAAAATTTAGAACATGTGACTCAAATTAAAATTCTGAACATATGAGTAATAAATTAGAACATTTGTGTGAGTAATATGATTAGAACATCTTATTTTAGAATTAGAAAGTGATTAAAAATTTAAAAAATTTGCTTTATAAAATTTTAAACATATGAGTAAAATTTAGAACATCTGACTTAAGATTATGAACATGTGAATAAAAATTTAGAACAAACTGATATAGAATATAGAAAGTGTGAGTAAAGAATTTAGAACATACGTGTAAAAAAAAAAATAGAACATACGTTTTAAAATCTGGAATATATAATTAAAAATCTTAGAACACACGTTTTAAAATTTAGAACATATAAGTTAAAATTTTGGAACAAGTTATTTAAAATTTATGACATCAAACTTAACTAATTTAGGGTTTAGAACATGTGAGTACTAAATTAGAACATTTGATTTAATTTAGAACACCTAAGGAAAAGTTTAGAACATCAGATTTAAAATTTAGAACATACGAGTAAAAATTTAGAACATAAAGAGTGTTCTCACATATGAAAAATTCTCACATAAGAAAATATATATATATATATATATATATATATATATATATATATATATATATATATTGAAATTCGCATTATACATTCTTTTCACAAGGGACATAATAAATCTATAGGAAGTGGATTAAATTAAGGTAACTTACCGCAAAATCTTCAGGAGAAATCCAACTATCACCAAGGGCAATACCTAACATATAATAGAAAAATAAAATCAATATTCAACCTCTAATACAATAACATATATATAGAACAAAAAACAAGCATTAAAAGGTTATGCACAATTTTAAGCTTCTTTGAGCCTCTAATGGTTGTTGTTAAAACAGTAAAAAAATAATCATTTAAAGATTAAGGTCTACCCTTTGCACGATGGATTTTCTTCTTTATTCACTTTTTTTTTTTTTTTTTTTTTTTTTTTTTTTTTTAAATCATTATCCACATTAAATTGAATAGCTTAATTATAATCTAAAATTATGTAACCACTAAAACTATTAGATGAACAGAATAAAAACCAAATAAACAGTTTTTATTTTGTGTAAAACTTTAATTTATAAACTTTCTTTTTTACAAGTCAAAAACTATGATTTGATTCATTGATTCCTCTTCTTCACTTTATTAACGGTCTGATCAACTTCACCTACCATAATTTTTCTTTTTTCTTTTTTCTTTTTTCTTTTTTTTTTTTTGGTTGGAATCAAAGATTTTGTTCCCTGATAAATAGTTAGACGAGTAAATTTTTTTAAAAAAAAAGTACTTATCTTTACAATATGTTGCTGATCAGTTCACCTACTGTTAAGCTGGAATTGGTGATTAATATCATAGCATGAATCATAGAAGTGTAATTGGTTAAAATTTGTTTTACTTGTCTAATAATCTAATACTTAACATGTACGGACTATGGAATACATATGAAAGGTTAACTAGCTACAAATGTTATGTTGTGCATGTGATAATAAATCACGATGTAGTACATAATGTGCATAATCTTAAATGATCTTTTTTATATATGGGTTTAATTTCAATCATTAGGGAATAGATTAATTACTGTTTTTATCAAAATGTTACAAGGAAAAAAATAATGTGCATTACAATTATTGTGTACAGTTTTTAACAGCTATACATTACAAAAGGTTATTTAAATTGTAAAATCTATAAACAAAAAACCTAAAAATAATAATATTAAAAAAAAAAAAAAAAAAAAAAAAGACGTACCTCCAAGCTTGAGGTTCAATTGGCCAGAAAGAATGGCTTTATGTGCAGCTAATCCAAGAGCAACCGCAAATTTACCACCATAAGATTCAGCAACAATAAACAATGGACTTTTTTGTAACTTGACATTCTTGTTAAATATCTCTTTTAACAATCTTGTTAGATCTTCTCCAGCTTCTTCATCACTTTTCACCACTAATTTCTTGTCTTCTACATAACTAAATCCTGTTCCTACTGGATTATCCTGTTGTTTACTCGTAACGTTATGTGTATGAATGATAAGTTGTATGTTAAGGTCGATAAGGTTTAATTTACTTACGACAAAGAGAAGGTCTGCTTTCTTCAACCATGTCGAATTTCGAGTTTTTAAATTTGTGTCTAATGGTCCGACCTCTTCGAAATTGCCAATTCCTGTTCCTGAAGCTCCCTGCATTATTTCAAATTCTACCAATGAGTGTCACTAGTATTTTTTGTAATATGTTAGGTTATCGAGATCTAATAGGTTCAGATGTACGCAACCTTATTGTAATCCGGAAATGGGAATTACTTACCGGCCCACCTTGAAGCCATAGAATTATTGGCCATGGCTTGTTTGGATTATCAACTCTAAATGGACTTTTGTACAACCACCAAAACATGTGTGCTTCTACAACAAATAACAAATTTAATTAATAACCAAACCAAATAATTAATGCAGCAAAAGTTGAAGAAAAAATAGAAATACTTGCTTGGTCTAACTTCAACATAACCCCATTCTTCTAAACCATTACCACCATTTCTTTTTGATTTTCTAGCAAAATTTCCATGAAAAAGAAGAAACAGAGTTGCAAAAAACAGAGCATTTTGGTATAAAACAGAGCTTTTTGCCATATTGTTTAAATTACTCTCTAAAAAAGGGTTTGCAGTTGAATAAAAAGTGCTGGATTATTGGGTATATATAGAATTGAGAACCCTAAAAGCTTTGATTGTCAGTGTGTACAGTCTAGCATAAAGATATAATTTGATAAAGTGAAGAGGATTTGATTAAGAATGCACTTAATAATGGATATTTGTGGTGTTAATAATTATAGTGGTAATAGTAATTAAAAGATTGGGGTAGTGTGGTACGATTGTTTTTCCATAAATGGGTTTTGTGGGGTTTGAGTGTTGGGAAGTTTGGGTGATATTAGCGTGTGAGAAATTGAGAATGCAGTCTGTCAAATATTTATATTCAAGTAATGTGTAGGAAAGGCCGAGGTCGGGTAGGCCGCTAGACCGGAGTCAAAAGGGTATTTTAATAATTTTTTTTTTGAAGAAGGTATTTTAATAATTTTATTCATACTAAATATAATTTTGTACAATACATTTTATTTAATTTTAAATTTCAATTTATTGCTCATAAATTAATTTGAGTTATTGTAGATGACACTCACGAATTTCTATTTTAGGGTAAATTACACATAACTTTCAATAATCATATTCATAAAATAGGTTAAATTAAAACATGTTTTTGGTGGAATTAAAAATTAACAACATAGGAATATATTCCATAATAGGGCCCTGTTGATTGTCATACTAACTTTTGAAACCATTCAAACATTTTCTATTAATTATGGAAAAAACATAACCCTTAAAGCTACATATAAGAGACAAAAAATGGAAAAAATTAAAGAAAATCTATTAACTATTACTAAAACAAAACTTTACTGATGTTATCACTGTTCATATGTCACTCTCATAATAAAAATTTTCCCGCCTAAATGCATGATGATGTCATCTTTTTTTTTTTTGAGCTATTATATATAATAGATTTTGAAATTTGAATAATAGAAGTTTCTATATTACAAATACAACCTAGCAATTTATCCTTAAAAAATGAAATAATTTAAAGTTGTACACTAATAAATAGACTCCTACATTAAAATATGTATTAGGCAAAGTTGAACATGTATTATATCATAATTTTGATGAAAATCTAAAATTTTCAAAATATAGATATTTTAAAATTTTCAGAAACAGATATTTTGTACAAGGTGCATAATCTTATTTATATTTATCCAATTTTTTTAAAAAATGTACAAATTATAAAAATAAATTTTATATAAACCATGCATCGCACGGGTTCTAACCTAGTATAACATTAATTACACTGATTTGCGAGTCAATTTGCCATGCATTCCTAAATTAATACCAAAGAAGGAAAGTTATTAAATACTTATTCATAGTCATAACTCTCATAAGGGCTACATATATCATTACTCTTTTAATTATCTTTTGTGATTCATAGGTATTGAAAAGTAGGTGTGTAATGTTTTAGATTTATCTTGATGTATATACCTTAAGTTATCAACTTTTTATTAATTCTGCATGAAAATTAAGAACATTAACGATTATACTTGAAAAAACTTAAAGAAACTGATGTATTAACTAAGGTTTGTTCATGATTTTTCAGTTTTTTGATATTAATAGTCATATGATAAATTTCATTAAAGAAAAAAAAGTCAAATCTATTACTCCATAGAATAATCATTATTTGGAAAACTAACAACAAAAAATTCCAAACTTTTTTTAAAAAGACAAACTAAAAACAAAAACGAAAACGAAAACTAGCAATCAGGCCAATCACTATATAATGTATCTAAACGTTATTTCATGAATTGGGTCATTGGGGTTGGCTTGAAAGTTGCATAGAGAAGTAGAGTCCCGCAACAAACCTTCGAGAATCGAGATTTTTTTTTCCTTTGGGATATGTTTGAGATAGTAGACTCACTTCACTATAGAAAGGATCCCACCAAAATAGAAAGTGGGATTTGTTTTACAAACTACGCCTTTTTAGTTTTTACCATTTCAAAATGGGATGTAGTACAACTTGTACAACTATAATGTTGTTAATTTGACTTTTGACATGGTCTGGCTAGGAAGAGATTAAGAGAAATAGCACTAGCACACTATGATTGTCTACTAGACGATCACTGATTCACTAAAAATGTAATAATCGTTTTTATAGTATTAAATCAATATATTTATATTTTTACTACGACTATGTTCAGTTCGTCTGATCTGATCTAATATGTTTTGAAATTTTCTGATTTGATCTAATTTCACTACTCAAAATCGGTCAAATTACGACAATTTTTAACTTTTATTTTTCAGCCTTTTTAGGGTTTGATGAGAATAAGAGAAAATCGTGGAAATAGAGGTGAAAAGGGGTGGGAAATTAGGATATCAGATAAGTGGGCATCACAATAGAAAATTTTACTAGACATCATCAATGGGTGTTGAAATCCAAAGGTTGTTATATACACTCTTGTAGTCTTGTGTATGATGCACCCAAGATATTTTTGATTATTTTGATGAGACTGTTCACTTCAGCTTAATTTCAGTTTAGTTCGGCTCAGCTCTAATCAGTTCAGTTCAGTTCAGCTCATAATTTCCTTTTCTCATAAAATATCCATTTCAGCTTCTAATTTCCTTTTCTCATAAAATATTTATTTTAGCTCAGTTCAGTTCAGTTCATTTCATTTCATCTCCAATCAGTTCAGTTTAGCCTAATCAGTTCAGTTCAACTCAACTCATTTCGATAAATGTGAACAAGCCCTTAATGATGATGGTTATTGCTCATTCAATCATCAAATCATTCAAATGAGCAAAAAATAACTAAATATAATTTTTTTGAAAGGATAAAAAAAAACCTAAATATTACGAGTTCTAATTTACAATAATATGAAAAAAGCGATTAAATCTGAATTAGGTGTTTTGACAAGTGATAAAAGAGAAAATATAAAATTTTACCACAATATTTTGAAAGAAATTTAATAAAAACAAAAAAACAATTAATTAAGGGCTTGTTGGCATCAGTTTTGGTTTTTAGTTTTCTGTTTTTTTGAAAACCAAAAACCAAAAACAGGAAACAAAACAAAGGTGTTTTTACTTTTCTGTTGTTAGTTTTCAAAATTATCATAATTTTAATAAGTTTATATAATTTTTGATTCATTATGACACACATATCATATACTTTTAGGAAAAAAAAAACCAAAAATAGAAAACCATAACAATGCCAAACGAACCCTAAATTATGACATTTTAATAAAACGGTGGAAGTATCTCAATAATTGATAGGACCTTTTTGGCTTTTTACTAACGAAATGCGTATGTAGTCAAATCAATAATCAGATTAGTCACAATGCACACTCCGTAATCAAGTCGATATTACATACATTCACAATAACTCGAGATATTATTCAATCCGATAACTAATATTCGCGGCTACATTATTTTGAAAATTTAAACAAGAAAAAGAATCCACAAGTCTAAGTCGCAAATACATTCAAACAAACAATTAAAATAAAATAGAAGTACTACTCACAAAACCTTATCCTTATCTCCTACCATAGTCAATTGTTTTTTCTTGTTATAATTCTTAGAATGAAAATCAATAAACAAATACAAAAGGGAAGCATTAAACGCAGCGTTGAAGCACCAACCCAAAATCCCAGAACAAGGATATCTCGTAAAATGAACAAACAACATAACCCCAGAAACCAAAAAACTAAACACAAACTGAACAATCTGACAGTTGGTGACCAATCTCTTCCATGACGGACGAATCCCAACCGTACACATCAGATAATACCCATACATCACAGTATGCACACTCGCATTCGTCACCAACGCAACCGGAAACAACGACTGAGATGTTTCAAGCCAAATGTAGCACATAATCAGAACCGTTGAATGATGGTACACGTGGAGGAACGACAACCGTCCAGTACTCCCACTAAGAATTATCAAAAGTGTGTCAATAAACTCAACGATTTTAGAGAGGTAGAAGATGTACCCCCAGAAGAAGACAGGTCCACGTGGCGGGGTTTGATTGGCGGGGAAGCAAAAGATCCAGTGTGGCGAGGGCATTTGAGAAAAGGTGGAGAGCGAACATCCAACGGCCATAATTAAAGAGAGGAGGAGGATGATGAGGTTGTGGACGGCGGAGATGAAGCGGAGGAGGGGTGGTGGGAGAGGAGAGAGAGTAGAGTGAGAAAGGAGGAAAGTGAGAGAAAGGTAAGTGAGGATTGTGAAAATGAGGAATTGGAGTGAGGAGAAATGTGTAATTTCAGGGTTCCATTCGAAATTGGTTACGATTGGGTGATGAACTAGATAGTATTTGATTGATGAAATCAACATATTTTTTTTTGGTTTTGGGGGAGAATGTTTATGATTGTGAAAGATTGAAATGAAATGAGTTGGGATTTGATGAATGGGTGTTTTTATGAGAATGGGGTGAGCTTGTCAAAAAAAAGAATGGAGTGAGGATGATGTGGACTATTGACGACCATGTTTTTTTTTTTTCCTTTAAAAAATATAAAAAAATTATTGTAGTATGGGGAAATTAGGGATTTAAGGAAATGGCTAATTTTGATAATGTAGTATTGGCAATACTTGTACTACCTTCATTAAAGGTTTGTTCACATCTACTTAATTTCAATTCAGTTCAGTTCAATCTAGTTCAGTTCAGTTCAGCTCCAATCAGTTCAGTTCAGTTCAGTTCAGCTCCAATCAGTTCAGTCTAGTTCAGTTCAGTTAAGTTGAGTTCAGCTCCAATTAGTTCAATTCAACTTAGTTTAGTAAATGAGAACAGACCCTAAATATTAATTTCAACTTTGGGCTATCATTTATGAGATATAAAATAATTTAAAGTTACAACTAATATTTACGGATGTAGTACATAAAGTAATGGGTGTTAGAAATTTATGACAGAGGTGTTAATTCAGATTGATGGGTTAGATTTGATTAAGGGTCTGTTTACATTTACTGAATTGAATTGATTGGAGCTGAATTGAACTGAACTAGATAGAACTGAAATGAATATTTTATGAGAGATTGAAATTAGGAGCTGAACTGAACTAAACTGATTGGAGCTGAACTAAACTGAACTGAACTTATTGGAGCTGAAATGAACTAAACTGAAATTAAGATGAAGTGAACAAACCCCATAACTCTAATCGGATATAATTTTGTAAATTTGAGTCATAATTAATAAATTATTGAGTCATCTATCAAATCATAGACGTTAAAATTTGATTTAAATGACTTACAAAATAGATAAAGATTAGTTCGATCATGTCATTTCTAACACCTTTATCTAGGATTAGACATCATAATTTAAATGGATAATTTATTAGATTGGTTATTTTGTCTTGAAAAACTTTTCTATACATACATCGAGGTAATTTTCCTTAAATTTAGGGTAACTTTTGTTGAATTTAAGATAACTTTTATTTATAAAGCTTAAATAACTTTTATTTATATTATGATTACTTATATAAACTGGGTAACAATAATTCATTATGTGATAAAATTTGTTCATTTTAAGATAACTTTGAAACGAATGTTTTATTGTACATTCAATTTTTTTTTTTTTTTTTTTAAATGTTAGTCTTTTGTTTTATCCATAGCCATATGAGGCCAAGAGGCCCAAGAGTAGCAACGTTAAGGTCACATCAATTCAACTATTTTAAGAATGTCTATTGTACTTCTTCCTCTTTTTTGGGGGGACGTAGTTTAACTTTTGCACCGTTTAATACACATTCTCATTTCTTAGGCCCCGTTCTTCAGAGCTGCTCTGCTGTAATCTGTTATTCTCTGCCCTACTTTGCTTCATCTGCTATTCTCTGCTTAAAATAATACTTAATATTGAATTATAATAGCAATAATAATTAATATATAATAATAATAATTAATGTTGAATAATAATAATAATAATACTTAATATTTAATAATAATAATAAGTAATATTTAATAATAATAATGATATTAAAATTAATATTTAATAATAATGAATAAATAATATTTAATAATAATACTAATAATAAATATTTAAGAAGAATAATAAATAATAAATAATAGATAATAAATAATTAATATTTATAATAATAATAATAATAGTAATAATAGGTAATAATAATAATAGTAATAATAAAAGTAATAATAATTTATTTTGAAAACCTGTTAAAAACGTCATTATATTGATAATTTGTCTATCAATACATACGGAGAAACCTTACCTGAACTATGATTCTCCCAAATTTGTTCTATACCAAAAGGGGTTGAACGGGCTAAATTATGGGCAACTATATTACCGTCCCGTTTTACATGACACCAACTAACGGAATTAAAAGAGACACAAGAAGCAAGAATATCATCTAGGATGTTATCAAGATCAGTGAAGAAAGTCGAGGCCTTGGACAATCTGTTGATGAGCACCTGACAGTCGCCTATTATTATAATATCTATCATGCAAGTTGTGGCTTTTTGCGAGCTCAATTAATTGCCATGGCAGCAGCTTAATTGCCACGACATCAGCTTTTTTCGATTTCTTCGTGACATCCCCATAGATATTCTTAGTATAGGAGTTACAATCAGCTGCTAGGCGATAAACTCGGTCAATTATGATAGGATGGTAGGTATCCTTGCCATTAAAGACCATATCGTTTCTTATATTCCACAAAAACCACATCAAAATAGCTCCCCTGCATACCTTCTTTGCATCAAGCTTACTCCAAGATTCAAGTAAATCAAGGAAGGACATGTGATTCGGCCATAGGGACATTTCAGTGCACTTACACTCCACCCAAAGATGTCGAACCGTATGACAGTCAAAGAATGCGTGCTGAACTATTTCCGGGATGCCGTCACACCATGGGCAATCTGAAATCTTAGTCATATGCCTGTATTTAAGATAAGCTTGTACAGGTAGGGTCCAAATGCACACCCACCACAAGAAATGGCGTACCTTCGGGGTGATGTCCATACTCCAAATATCCAACGAAGATTTATGGATTAGATTAGATCAAGATTGCAAGACTTACAAAGAATATAAGAGGATTATATTTGACATAATAGTAGCCACCGGAGAGAAAACCCAAGTGAGTAAATCAGGACCAACATTTGAACTCAGAGGGATAACTAGGATGCTACGAACGTCACTGTCATTGAAAATGCCCTCAATACATTGCGCATCCCATTCTCCCGAATTGTGATCAATTAATCCGCTAACAAGCTGGACATATTCTGAAATCAGTGTGCTAATGAAACGTCTATCACTATTGTCAACCAAAGGTTCACTCCAAATATTCACTCGACCCATTCCCAATTCTTCCAATTAGGCCTTCCTTAAACAAAGCTTTTGAAGATCAAATACTTTGCCAAGAGTTGCTACCACCTACACCAAGATGGGTATTGTAGACACCCATTTGTGTCTCCCCAAAACCAAACCCGGTAATGAGTACCTTTTGCGTCGAATCATAATCGAATGAAGTGAAAGTGTGGAAAGTCTAGTGTTGCGGATAGTTTTAATTTCTTTTCTCTTCTCTCTGTTTTTGAAAACTTATTTTAAGAAAACAGCCAATCCAATTTGGTTGGTCCATAATATGGGTCCAATAGTAGTGTAGTTGGATGGGGCTTGATAAAAACTTTCCAACGATATATTATAAGCCCAATTCCGATGAATATTGAGGAAATTATGGCCAATTTACTAAATTGGGCCCGGTTTGAGCCTTATATGCGGCCCATTGATCTAAGGGAGGGCCTAATATGATTTATCATTCCTAATGCAATTAGGAATGGTTTTAGTCTTCTAGATTCTTCTAGAAGGTTCTTTTCATTCCTAATTCAATTAGCATTGATAAATTGACTTTTTGACTTTTCAGAGTTTTAATTAAAATCAACTAGCATTTTTGAGGAAATTATATGATTTTATCCTCCAGTACGACAAACTTATCTGATTTTCGAAAACGCGTTAAAATCAGGCTTGGCGCCTGACCCCAGGCTTTGGCGCCTGGCGCCAGTGTTGGTGCCTGGCGCCAGTTAGCCAGGGTTTGCGCCAACTCTGTTTTGTTTATTTAATCTTTTTGGTTGATTTTCTCTATAAATATCGTATTAAAAACTCCGTTTTCATTCACCAATTCTCATCTACATTCATCAACAATCAGTTTTCATTCGCAATCATTAATTCTTTAGTATTCTCTTAATCATTCATCTTTTTCTTCTAAACTTTGTTTTCTCATACAAAATTCCGCATTCGCAAGATCTAGAAACACCTAGCCATATTCGAAGTTGCCTTCGCCCTAGACGTGAAAGGTTTTAATTTCTGAGGGTTTGGTCCCAAATCTCTATTTCAATTATTTAATTTGATTGTTTGTAAATTATTTTCCTTGAAGTTATCAACGTGTGTATTTTGTTATTGGAAAGAGGTACGAAGCATCAAAGTAAGTACTTTAATTGGTTTTAATTGATATTATGGTGTAGAAATCATGTTTAGATTATTATTGTGATATTCCTAGTATCATGTCTAGGGTAGTTCTAATATCAAATATGCTTATTATGATTCCTGCAATGCTTCTTATGTTCTTCCTAATATTTATTCATGTTAGTATCATGTTAGGGTTAAAGACTTGATTTTTATTGCTTAGTGACATGCTAGGGTTTTGTTATTAATCTTGTTAGTATCATGCCTAGGATCTTGCTTTTATTGTGCTTTAATATTAACATGAACATGATTATGATTATAATTGTTATAATTTATGATGATTATGAATATTATGATTATTATTTTTATCATTATTTTGATGATTATTATTATGATTATTTATTATGTTGCTTGATGCGTTATTTATTGCTTGATCACGCCTTTTATTGCATGTTTAAAGGGAATTTGGTACTTGTAACCACGCTTAATAAGATATTAATAATCTTGTTTAGGGTTAATTTGATTATAATTCAAGTGATCGCCAATAATAGTTTATTTGTGCATTAATATTCAACCAACATAGATTAAACAGTTTTTAGGGTTAATTCTATTGATTGCATGTTAGTCAGAAAGCGCACATGAATACGATCAGACTAAAGTAGAGGCCTATTATCAGGGCAGGTTCAATCTCTTTTAGGTTGGATTTGTACCATCATCCCCGAACCCTTATTTGGTTCTAGACCTTATGGAGTTAACGATCTCTTGGATCGTTATGGGGTGTAACCTTCATCTTATGAACGGTTTACAAGTTCCTAAAAACTTGTTGGCGACTCTTTTGCTCTATCTTCTTCCCTTTTGGACGCCACCGTACTTTAGTGTATGATCACAGTGGGGTTCAAGCTAGTGGGATTAAAGCTTGAAATATTCCCTATAGTTTTTGGCGACTCCACTGGGGAGGATTTCTATTTTAATTCCTGAATTCGTTTCGGCAATGATGTAGAATGAGTGGATGAGACTCGAAAAGTTCTAAGTATTTCATGTGCGTAATTTTGATTAACATTATTGTCATATGCATAAAAAAGATCTCATTGGAAAGACCATCCGTAATGAGTTAAAAAACATAGGATTTTACACGTAGGAAATTTGAGAAATATCTTTCACAACTAGGACCGAAAT